CTAGATAACAGAGAATGATTCAGCATCTCAATAACTAACAAAAGCAACAACAAAAATACTCATCTCTAAGATATGTGTTGCCTCATCTTTTCATATGTCCAGAATTATCTTTTTTTCCTGTAAGCTCTAATGTTCTGGAGGTTCATGAATGATAGTTAATGATTCAAATATATAATTGATATGCTTCATGTCATACAGATCCCTAACATCAATTTATTCACAAAATCTCTAATTAATTAAACAATTTATTCATCAGACTGATTTAATTTGTGAATTTTATGAAACTTCACACACAAAAAATTTTCCAAAATCTGTAATAACTCCTGCTTAAATTTGTGCTCCATTAAACAAATAATGTGAGTATAGAAAACTCCAGTAGTTTCTTTTTAAGGCATTGTGTTCTATTAGAACTCCATTTCTGCCTTCCCAGATGTTTGTCATACATATAGTCAAAATGATAAAATGGCTTCACTGCACAAGGATATTTTTAAATAATGAGAAAAATGAATGCTGGAAAATAAGAAAGAGTACTTTGAGACAGTTGACTACTTAATCTCCAACTCAATATAGAACTCTATACCCCTTATATTTAATATGTTTAATAGTTATACCTGATTTTTCAGTATTCTTCTTTAGATATGAACCCTCAAGAAATAAAACCTACCATCATGTGTAGCTAAATTTTAGTGGGATTTATTTTTTCTTCTTCAGCTCATGTAAATTCTAAACTTGTAATAGTAGACCGGTAGCATAGTTTTTCTGACTTGGTTAATTCATTTAATCATTATTTCAGCACTCATTAATTGAATAAATGTTATTTCTTAGTTGCCAGGCTAGGTACTAAGGTAACAAAGATCCGTAAATCCTGATCCTACTATTAATAATTTAGGATCCAGCAGTTCTCATGGAGCAGATAATCTATTTAAGGAGCTACTATATATGCAGCAGCAATTTTCTTAATGACAGTAGACTTTTTAATTAATATTTGTTAAGCACTTTAATAATCCAAGACTGTATGTAATATATACAGATTTTCTTGGTACCTGTGGTCAGAAACAAGGATAAATGTGAGTATGTATCATATCTATGTTGGTCACATTCAAAGAAAGAAATCTCACAAAACTGTTACCATCATTACAGAGACAGGAGATTTGTTGGTATTACTTTCTCTCTAATATTTAATTAATTTGTATTACAATTTGTCTAGGGCACAAATTATCATAAATTATAACTGGGAGAAAAGCTTAGCTGTGCCAGTAAGTGCAGTTACATGTATATGTAACCGTAGTTTTCATAACAAGCTTATGTGACGCTTTTCTGTTGTTACAGGAATTTTTTTTTTCTGTTTTCCTTGTGCTTGCTTATTTTTTAATTGGAGGATAATTGCTTTACAGTGTTGTGTAGGTTTCTGCCCTGCACCAATGCAAATCAATCATAACTATATATATATATATATATATATATATATATATATATATATATATATATCCCCTCTGTCTCGAGCCTCCCACGTTCCCCCTGGTCTCACCCCTCTGGATCGTCAGAGCACAAGGCTGGTTCTCTGTCAGACAGCAGTTTCCCACTAGCTATCTATGTTACACATGGTGTGTATATATGTCAGTGCTACTTTCTCAATTCCTACCACCCTCTCCCTCCCCAACTGTGTCCACACTGTTCTCTACATCTGCATCTATGAAGCTTTAAATAATCTTAGATGTCCATTTTATATCTGAAAACAATAGAATCGAAAGTTGTAACTTCAACATTAAAGAACTTACAAATATCCATAATGCAATGGATCTGGGGGAACGTTACATAAACTTTCAAATCTGTAGTTTTTAGTATCACATCTTTACATTTAGGAGAGGAAAATACAGAAGAGAATAATAACTGGTGATCTCTAGAAAATGTTTTCATTTGATGTTTCAGAATTTAAGGGAAAAAAAAACAAGAACAGCAACAAAAAAACAGTTTCAGGGTACTTTTATCCCACACTTGCATACAGCAAGCCTTACACCTTCACCGATGCTTGACCAGTGACTCTTACCTTCTAAGCCTCTGGAACGATGGACAGTGTGGGGACGGAGAAAGCTGCACTGTGCAGTGATTCAGAGTGTGGGCTGTGGAGCGGATGGCCTGCCTGGGCCACTCGGGCATGTAAAATTGGGCAAGTTACTTAACCTCTCTGTGCTTCCATTTTCTCATCAATAAGCTGGGCTAGTAGTAAAACCACCATGAATTATGAGGGTTTCTCAGCGAATTTAAAGCTCAGCACACTGTGTGGCACACGGTAGGCACTTGACAAATGTTAGCTATTTTAAGATGAAACTCCAAGACAGAAATTTTCTTTTAAAATCAAGTCAGATCATAATAAGGAAGGAATGACTGACAATTACAAGAAAATTATTTGTTTCACTCATAATAAAAGTCTTATTAACGTGAGCTAACCTTTCCCCAATTAGATAGCCATTTTTGTTAATTGACCATAACCATCATTAGTTATATCGGGGGCCTGTCTGTACTTTCACAGCATTGGAGGTGCAACCATTTGGGAAGATAATGTGCCTTCCCAACGAAGTTGGCATAGTTTGCCTTCCCAACAAAATTTTAAATGTGGGTACTCTTCGACCCAGCAATTTTACTTATAAGAATTTATCTTTTAGAAATCTTCTCAAAGATGCACACGGTCATGCATGCACACACACACACTACTTAGTTTAATAGGGGAAAAATGCTTCTGACATGAAAGAGTGCCCATGATTTAATGTAAAATGAAAAACACAAGTAACCTAATTTTTGTGATTGCACAATTTGCACTTTAGTGAGATAAGTGTTCTTTGTTTGCATATGCAAAGGGAGAAGTATAAATGTTAAAAGACCTACAAAAAATTGAAAGGACACACATAAAGTTAAAATTAGTTTATTCCGGAGAGTGGAATTGGGATCAAGAGATAAGGAGAGGACTTGGTATGTTTCCATATTTTTAAAATTTTACTACAAAATTTTGTGACTTTAAAATTTAAAAACATTGTTTAAGCAGGGAGAAAAAAAGCCTAAGCCAGAGAATCACCACTTAAGGAATTCTGGCCCCAAATCATTATATCTATATCTATGAGACCTGGTAAAGAAATGAATCCCAAAGAGTTATATCGCCTTCACTAGAGAGCCTCAAAGTCCATGATTTGAATGAACTTCCTGGAGTAACCAAACCCAGTTGCTGGGTTGTGGGGAAGTCTTCACTTTATTAAGAAGGGCAGACAGATAGACTCCTTCCTGGCTGGAAAGGGATCACCGCTGACTCCCAGGACATCGCAAAAACCTGGGTCTTGGTTTACTGGTGAAGACTTGGACCGAGGAGACCAGGGCGTTTTCACACAGAAAAGTGAGCTCTCAGCCCTTGAGTGACGTGCATTTTGGATGGCCGCCTCCAGCCCACAAAGACATGTCCATTGCAGTTTAAAAAACGATCCCCTCCAGAGAAATACAGCCTGCAAATTCACACTCTACATCCATGACGTGTATCATCTTCTCTTTCTGTTCGGAAAATACTCCTGAATGGTTGCACACCCTTTGTCAGACCTTAATCAATCTTTGGAGAATTGATGAGTTTCGTAGAAACCGTTTGCTATGAGAGATGTGTCTGAATGTTTTTACAGTGTACAGAAAGGTGTGTGTCCAGGATCTAGTGATGTGTAAGCAAATAGAAAGGAAAATGTTTAGATGAATATAAATCAGCCATTATGGAGTTTTATGTGTGTGGATCACAGTAAACTTTGTGTGGATCACAATAAACTGTGGAAAATTCTGAAAGAGAATGGGAATACCAGACCACCTGACCTGCTACCTGACCTGCCTCTTGAGAAATCTGTATACAGGTCAGGAAGCAACAGTTAGAACTGGACATGGAACAACAGACTGGTTCCAAATAGGAAAAGGAGTACGTCAAGGCCGTATATTGTCACCCTGCTTATTTAACTTATATGCAGTGTACATCATGAGAAATGCTGGGCTAGAGGAAGCACAAGCTGGAATCAAGATTGCTGGGATAAATATCAATAACCTCAGATATGCAGATGACACCACCCTTATGGCAGAAAGTGAAGAAGAACTAAAGAGCCTCTTGATGAAAGTGAAAGAGGAGAGTGAAAAAGTTCGCTTAAAACTCAACATTCAGAAAACAAAGATCATGGCATCTTATCCCATCACTTCATGGGAAATAGATGGGGAAACAGTGGCAGACTTTATTTTGGGGAGCTTCAAAATCACTGCAGATAGTAACTGCAGCCATGAAATAAAAAGATGCTTACTCCTTGGAAGAAAAGTTATGACCAACCTAGACAGCATATTAAAAAGCAGAGACATTACTTTGCCAACAAAGGTCCGTCTACTCAAGGCTATAGTTTTTCCAGTAGTCCTGTATGGATGTGAGAGTTGGACTATAAAGAAAGCTAAGCGCCGAAGAATTGACGCTTTTGAACTGTGGTGTTGGAGAAGACTCTCGAGAGTCCCTTGGACTGCGAGGAGATCCAACCAGTCCATCCTAAAGGAGATCAGTCCTGGTGTTCATTGGAAGGACTGATGTTGAAGTGGAAACTTCAACTTTGGCCACCTGATGAGAAGAGCCGACTCATTTGAAAAGACCCTGATGCTGGGAGGGATTGGGGGCAGGAGGAGAAGGGGACAACAGAAGATGAGATGGTTGGATGGCATCACCGACTCAATGGACATGAGTGTGAGTAAACTCTGGGAGTTGGTGATGGACAGGAAGGCCTGGCATGCTGCATGCGTTCATGGGGTCTCAAAGAGTCAGACACGACTGAGCGACTGAACTGAATTGATGGAGTCTTATAATATTTTAATATACTTTATGTTTTTATAATAATTTATTATACTTTATGTTTATATAATAATATGAACACAAATATTCTATATCAACATTGGTGCAAATCTATTGATGCCTAGTTTTTTCTTTTTTAATGTAATCTTGTTTGTCTTCACAGAGTTACTGGAGGTGAACTGTTTGAAGACATAGTGGCAAGAGAATATTACAGTGAAGCTGATGCCAGGTAAGTGACTTGTCCTGGACAAGATACAAGACTCAGCACTCACATGATGCTTGTTCCGTATATCTCTACAGATGTATCATGGCACTTAGGATTATGAGAATCTCATAATATTGTCTTGGACTTTTCACAAGTCCTCTCTCTCTTAACAGATTTTCAAAATGGTTCTTTGGGGGGAAAAAAAACTATGAATCTGATGTAAACTTTACTTTTAACTAGTACCTGTAGTTAGAATATATATATTTTTTAAAGCCTAGCTGGAATGACTTCTGATAAAGAAATATACTTTTTTATCAAAGTTATGAGAATTAAAAAAAATTGAAACCCTCTGGTCTCTAGATGCTAGGCTTCCCAGTTTGATAACCACTAGTCACATATGACTATTTTTTTTGGTTTATTTTATTGAAGTATAGTTGATTTATAGTGTTTTATTAATTTCTGCAATACTTTGCAATACATCAAAGTGATTTTTTTGTATTCTTTTCTATTATGGTTTATTACAGGATATTGAATATAGTTAGAATATTGACTATGAATTTTTGAATATTGAATATGTTTAGATACCATCACTGACTCAACAGACATGAGTTTGAGCAAACTCTGGGAGATTGTGGAGGACAGGGAAGCCTGGAGTGCTGCAGTCCATGGGGTTGCAAAGAGTCAGACACGACTTAAGAACTGAACAACAGCAGCGATTAAATACAGTTCCTTATGCTATATAGTTGGGCTTTGTTGTTTATACATATGACTTTTAATTTCAGTTTCAGTTACTTTAAATAAAAAGTTCAGTTCCCCAGTTGCACTAGCCCCATTTCAAGTGCTTAATGACATGAGTGCCTAGTGGCAACTGACTGGACATAGCAAATATAAAGCATTTCCCTCATCACAGAAAATTCCATGAATAGCCCACATCCAATCAGAGACCATAAAAAGAAACAGACTCCAAAAGCCCCAGTGGTCTCCTTAAAGCATTATGAACTATTTAACTCTTTGGAAATTTCATTAAAGTCCTTGGAACTCTCACTTGAAAAAATATTTACTCAGGTACTTCAGAGGGTTCAAGAAGATTTCCCAATCTTGTTAATTGGCAACATTTTTACAGAAGTTAAAAATGGCTAACATTTTGTCTCATTTGAGACTTCCTAGGCTACACAAAGGCAGTGTTTTTGGAGTGAAGTAACATTAATTTACTTGCTGAGACATTACTTAGACTGCATGCTGTTAATTTCCTTGGCATTTCTTATATATATTCTGTAGTCAGTACTCATTCTGAAAAACCTGGCCATGAGTGATTAGCTCCTTATTAGCCATGTAAATGAGAGGGTATCTGTATTCAGTTATGGTGGTCTGTGCCTGCCTGTTCTCTCCGCTGCTCTCAGAGCTTCCTAAGGCTGCTGCCTCCCTGGTAGCCTGGCCCGGGTATCAGTCAGCCGATAGCAGGCCCCCATCCCTCCAGAGTAGCACATGCATACCCAGGCTCACTTCTGAACTTCTCATTCACCTTCTTGGTTTAATGTTACTGTTTATGAAATTTTATGGATCTTATCTGTACCTGACTACACTCTTTAATTTTTTAATGGAATTTCTATTGCCAAAGTCAAATAGAAAGTTCCATGTCACTTATGATGTGTGAATCATCACTTGTTCAGTTTAAGCCACATCCTCACATTGGGCCTCTGAAAAGCACTTCAGAATAGCCTTGGAACAGTAACTGTTTTCCCACTTGCCAAGAGAATAATCTCTTTTATCAAGGTAATAAAAGTTAAGAAATTTCCTTTATATTTCTTTTCAAAGTTATTTTAAACAGGTTGTTATTGTGTTTCAAAATACTGGTTGAAATTAGAGACTATTTTCAGCCCTAAGATAACAGGATAGACCCTAAATGTTGGATCATTTAATATACATGCTTATATTAAGTTTTGAAATTTACTGTAGGATACAGTTTAGGATAGGTCCCACACATAATTAAGGAGAAGAAACATTCTCTTCTCAACCATATGCATAAAGAGCAAGTAACTTGTAAAAATCTGTTTAGTACTAGCCCTCAAGAAGTTAAGAATTGAATTCATTCTCACTAGTAACATATGGTGAAGCTCATTTAATATTAATTATTTTTTACTTCTCTATTTTCTGTTATTCATTAGGACTAAAAACTTATACCAATGGCTTGAGATGAAAGAGTAAAGTATTCATAACAAGAAGTATAATGTGAACATTGCTGTAGAAGGAAAAAAAGCTATATGATATAGCAAATAATTACCAACAGTCCAGTAAGCTATATAGTCAAAATCAATCTCTCTCAAGCTCTTTTAGTGGTACACTTAAATTGAGTTAGAGCTAGAAAATCATAATCGTGATCATTGTGACACTTATGTTGTAATAAATCAGATAGACAGTGACTACTTTTTTTTAATTCAAGAATTTACTTTGGAGTAGTAGTATTTTGTCCATTAAATGATTGAAACTGTCCTCGCTAAAGTATTTGCTTAATCCTTGATTGAATGAATGTCGTTCTCTGATACACCTGCGTTTGAATCACACAGTGACCTTGTTCAGGATTCCTCAGTGTGATATGTCTTACGTTCCTGTATGTCAGATGGCAGCTCATGGGACCTTATGATGTCCATCAATGATGCCTTCCCTCTAATTTGATTAGCAGTCTATTTGACGTAACATAAATGTACATTTTAACATAGGAATAAAAGTTTTCTTTCACTGAGGTGTATGGAATGTGTCGAACAACCACCAGTGCTCCAGGGGATTTAAAATTTTATTTTTATTTTTCAAGTTTTTATTCCTTCCCCAAAGTATGGTTATCCTGAAGAGGTTTTTTTTTTAATACCATGGATTTACTTTAAATTCTTCTTATGTTACTGGAGACGTGCATTAGTTTTCCTATTATATATTATATAAGCAGCACCATTTCTAAGTCAAAATGGTAAATGTCTCCCTCCGTTTTTTTTTTAACCCTTGTTTCACCTGCCACTTCATTTGTGTTATCCTCTTGTTTCAACACCTATGTTTAATTGTGACCTCAGATTTTAAACAGTTTAGATGTGTATGAGAAATACCCATAAATTTTATTTCACTGAAGAATTTTCCCAGAACATTGTGGGAATTATTTATAAAATTTCCTAGAATTATTGATAAAATTTTCTCCCTGAATATGGAAATTTTGACTTCTATAAACAAATGATTAATAGAGTTGCAATGAAAGAAAACACATATCAAATTGTTTTGTCTGAACATGTCACAAATTCTGTGTTGGATGTCATTTTTGTTACTGCCAAAATTAGCTTTATCCAGCATTATTTAATTCCAGTGTAAAGCTAAAACATGTGAAAAATATAATTTTTGTTCGTTTGTTTTGTTCAAATTTTCATTTTATTTTGTATTCAATGTGATTATGTGCCTTTAAAATGTTCTCCCTCCCATTCTACCCTTGTATCTTTACAGTCATTGTATACAGCAGATTCTAGAAAGTGTAAATCATTGTCATCTAAATGGCATAGTGCACAGGGACCTGAAGGTCAGTATATGGAGTCCATAAACCTGAATCAGAGGAAGTTTTGTTTGTTTTTTTTCTGGGGAAAGGGCAGAGGGTGGGTGTTGTACAGTCGTTCCCGTGCCTTTCCCAACTTTTCCTTACAATGACTAAATGATGACATGATAATGCATGATGCCTCTTCCAGTTTGCTCATCTACAGGCTAAATATACATCATAGCAAAAGGGAAGGCCAGCACTGAAAGCACAGCTCTTAAGGTTCCGAGGAGTAAGCCACCGGAGACGGTGTGGGGGCAGGCTTTCCTGAGATGTCCAGCACTGGCCTGGAAATACCCTGGCCTGTGATGTATGTCCGCCTGTAGAACTGAACACCACTTCTGTTCTGAGACCATGGGTTGCTGTAGCAGAACAACTGGTTCCCCACTGCTCCTTTTGAGTCCGACGAACCCTCAGGCAAGAGATGATGATTGCCAGCTAAATTAAAGCACGCGAAGTTAATGATTTATCAAAAATTCATTACGTATCCTAATTTAACCTTAATGGAGCCTTGACTGCTAATGTGACAGCTTTCAAATGATACGAGAAAAATGGGAGAGAAGAGGGAAACAGCTTTTTTTGTGTGGCGGGAAGGTGGAACACAAAATCTATAAAAACTATACTTGTGTTCCAGTTCATTTCCTGTGAGGATTTATAACCAGGAAAAGAGCTCCTGAATTGAAAGTTTCTAAGGTGGATTTTTCTAGAACAAGTGAACCTACATTTTGGCCCACATCTGGCAAGATCCTGATTGTCCTGAGGTAGTAGTCACTCTACTCGAGCGTGTGTTTACGTGACTGAAAATGTTTAAACGCAACCCCAGTTGTCTGCTAGTTTTGCACTTTAACCCAGTCTCTCTGAGGGTGTACAGACAGTGAGTGTAAGCTTGGAACTAACACACGCCCCCTGGTGTTTGCATGCAGTCATTGCATTCAGCAGATCCTGGAGGCTGTGCTGCACTGCCATCAGATGGGCGTAGTCCATCGGGACCTGAAGGTGAGTAATGCCCTTGGAGAAGACAAACCACCACACGATTCCTAACGACTGTTCAGCTGCAGTTATGCCTGTAAAGGCAAAAATGTGAGCAATAAAGTTGTGCGGACTCTTTGCAACACATAACGAAAACACTCGCCCTCGCCACAATCTCTCTCACTTTCTCTCTTCTCTAATGCACACTTGAAACTTATATAAATCCCGTTTCATCCAGAGAGAAATCATTTCCTAACATGAACAATAAGTAGGTTATATTTTCTTTCTCTCAAGACAGGATACAGCATCTAATGTGACTTTGAGTAGGACTGATGATCTCCTCTTCTCTTTAAACTTGTTCTGTGAACATATTGGCATGTTTGTTGATCAAACTCATACTATATGTACCTATATTTTGTAAGTAGCTATCTAAATTATAAAGTAAATAGAGATGAATCTAAGGTAGATTTTTGGCCCACGAGATTGATGTTAAAGGCCTCCATTGTGGGTAGTAAAGTCTTTTTCCCTTAACATTAGTCCCAGGAATTCTGAGGACATTGAATCTTCCTGCTTTTTTATTTACTTATATTTCTAGGTGTCAAGATACTACTGTGTGGAAAAAGGGTAAAACAAATCTTATTATCAAATAGTACATATGTAACATATAGCTACATACTAATACTTTTAAGACTTGACTCAGTTTCTGATAACCGTTGAGAATGAGAAGTGTTCAGATCATTTAGAAATTAAACATTTCAGAGGTGACCATCTTGTTATTAATTCTCTGGCCTCTTCTCTCAGCATTCTAGCTTTACTTACACCTGGAAATTTAATGGAGGAAAATTCCTAGGTGGGCAACATAGCACATGGGAGCACTGTGGAGCTGTGACTTTTCATTTGAAACCTCAGCCTTTTCCAGGCATTAGTACAAAGGTGGCGAAGGATAATTTAGAATGTCAAACTGTAACGTGTTTGGGACCTAGGCTGGTTTCTCCTGGGCATACTTCTCTTGTTACAGTACTTCCTACTCATTTTGTATGTTCTAGAAGAATATTTCTTCAGTGGTTCACAGCAAGTTACTTGAAGATGTGAACTGTAAGCAAAACATTGCCTTTTCTAGAACCTTCCTTTGATTTCAGTTTGAGTCTAAGAGCTTGTTCTTTTGGAGAACCAAGGTAGAATTGTGTCCATCTGCTAGCGCTTACCAAATTTACCCATCAGGAAAAAGGAAAAAGAATGTGTTCCTTTGAAGATTCATATATTTGGCAATCACCTCAAAAACTGCTTAGTAGCCACATAAAGACAGTGCCCCTTTTTGTTGTTCTTAGAACTCACAGTGCTACTTTCCTTTTTAAGTGACTGAATGTAGACATGCACCTTGTTGGTGCTATTCTTACTGTTTAATACATTTATCATTTGAGATATTTTACTTCATTTATGTAATTATAAGTATAGTCTTAAAGCCACGATGAGAAATGCAAATTTTGTTCCAGGATTTTGGAAATATATTTTTTGAGGTCTTGATATTGCACTTCTGTAAATGTCCAAACTCACCTGAGTCCTTCAAAGACCGGAACTTTTATCAGATGTCAGTGAGCCTAGGCTGTGGAATGGGAAGGAAAAGATGTTTTCTGACATATGAGCTAAAGTCACTAATTAAAAACGCATGCAGGTGATTTCCAGAGAGGCTGCTACTAAAAGAAATTAGCCTGCTGCATCACCCCTCAGATTTCTTTCATGGGGAAAGTGTTTTTGCTTTCCATTCTTACTCAGATTTAAGGAGAGGATGGAGATGAACTTCTGATGAAGCTTGTTATAATTTCTGTAATTGTTGTCTTAGTTTTTGTCACATCGCTGACTTGGATAAGCTTCAGTTGAGTCTAGTTCCTAATAGGCCACGACATAAACAGCAACAGAGGCTCAAGCTTGTGTGCAGGGGCAGCTTAAGCGTGCCCTGTCGCTGGCTTTCATCTGTGGCTTCTATACCCATGGTGCATAATCTGATAAGTATACAGCTTGGAATAACACATTTACCAATATATTAAAATGAAAAAGATCAGCTGCTGAAATCTATTATCAGGCTTTAAGCACAAATGTTGCCCTTACAATTATTAGGCCATATATTTCTGCTTCCAGGGCAAGATTCATATGTTAATTCATGTACAGTGCTTCCCTGGTGGCTCAGAGGTTAAAGCATCTGCCTGCAATGCAGGAGACCTGGGTTCCATCCCTGGCATGGGAAGATGCCCTGGAGAAGGAAATGGCAACCCACTCCAGTATTCTTGCCTAGAGAATCCCATGGACGGAGGAGCCTGGTGGGCTACATTAGCCCATGGGGTTAATTCATGTACAATAGACACAGTTTAATTTGTCCATATCAGTGAGATAAAGACACAGGGTGTATTACATTTATCATCATCATCATAGGCACCTGTGAGCATAGGAGTACTGTACAGGTTGTCTATAAACTCCTCTGAGGATAATAGCCGTTTGTGTTCCTTTCCAGTACCTAACGTGGGACCTTGTACCTAGTTAACACTTGCAGCATAGTCCTTCAATTCAGGAAAGAATAAAGTTCAACCAAAAGTACATTTGTCATTTAAAAGACAGCACTGAGTAAAATAGGCTGTTGTGATATATTCATTAATGTTGAATAAAAGAAGATAAGCATATCCTCTGATTCAGTGGTAACATGAGGATCTCTTTTTTAATATTTTAATAACTTCCACTTTGAGGGGCTTTTTAGACAGTAGAATCCTCCAGATGGAAACTTATCAGGCCTAGAGACAAGGCTAGGGCATAGCAGGCAACTTGAGGATGTCCCAGAGACAACAGCAGGAGAAAGTTCAGGGTGGTGAGATGCTGGCAGCATGCCAGGCAGCCCCAGGCAGTATCCAGTGGACCCATGGACCACAGTCTTTCGTCTAAGGTGCAGTCAGTGTCAGGAAATGGATGTAGATCTCTTAGGGAGGTCCAGCGGTGGTGACATAGTTACAGGCTTATAGTTGAGGGATATGAGAGAGTTTGGATCAAGGCAGAACCTTAATAAAAATAAAAGGGCCATAGCTGCCATTTATCAAGCAGTTTCTCTATACCCTGCGCTGTATTATCCAAATCTTCAGAATAACTTCATGAGGAAGGTACCATGATTGTCTCCATGTTACCTAAGAGGAGATTAGCAACCGTGAGAAAAGGACTTGTTCAGGGTCACAGCTAGTAAGACAGGGTTTGTGCCCAAGCCGTTGGGCTCCAGGGTCTGCAAGCTTAATCCCTGCCACTTCTCAGTACAGTTAGATAAATGAATCGAAAACCCTCATAGAGACCAAAGAAGAGTTCACAACAGTGATGGGAAACTCATTTTACCATCAGCATTGAGAGTTATTTGGGGAAGTCGGTCTAAATTTAGTGAATCAAGAGATTAAAATAATACCCAACTGTGGCTTTTCAGAGCTATACAAAATTTGTATCATTAGGAAGAAGAGAATAAGGTATAGTTAAGCCATAAAGTAGAGTAGGAGAACAGCATAAATTTTGACAAAAGACTGGTGTAAAAAGTGATAATGTTCTGTTTAGGAAATCAGTAAGGTGGCGTTGTCCACAGCCTTTGGAAAATGAGACATCGAGAAGAATGAAATGGATTTGCCACATTTAATTTAGGCCACATCAAGACAATCAGTTTGGAGTCCTTAAAAAATCAATCATTTATGAAGAGAGGATTACTGTAATGTGGGGGGATATTTGTGTGAACTGCTAATTAAAAATTCAGGTATCAAAAGAGAAGAACAAACATTAATCAAGTATTTCTCAAGCACCTATTAAGGCCCTGTCTTAGGTTTAGGCATGTATTACACAGCAAAACAAAAACAAACCTTGTATACATGGAACATACAGGCCAATGAGTTAAAAGATCACTTAAACATATGTGGAAGATGTATCCATGCTGCTCCTCCCAGAAAGATAGAAGTACATTAGACAGGCACCGCCTCCAGAAATATATCAGGTCTAAAAGAGGCTGTGGTAAAAAGCGACAACTCTCGATGTCACAGTAAATAAAGTAATATCAAGTCAGATGTGTTCTCTCACGTAAGAGCTTGGAGAATACAGTTTCTCTGAATCAGTTGACAGAAGGAAGTAAGTCAAAAGAGACAGTTACATAGCTGTACTTTTTCAAATAACCATTTTTCACACAAAGTAGTAAAATTTCTTCAGCTCAAGGTGTATCAGAAGTGGTTACTCAACTGCCTCATGAGCAGCTCTCTGGATAAGAGGCTGCATACATACAACTGAATCTTTTAGCAACAAATAGGCTGGTGAATTGCCTTGGTAGAAAATGTTGTCTTCTTAAAGCCTACCTCCTAAAGAAGTGTTATTTAACGGAAAAATCATTAGACAGGTAGATGAGTATAAGATTGATAGGTAGGTAAGTAGATAGAAGGATGGATAGATATGTTTTAGTGAAGATAGTAATTCTGGAAATTTGGGAGGATTTTTAAGACTTTCGTAGACACAAAATTAAATGTATGACCAGAAAAGAAAGAAATTCATTTTCTGGAAATGTGACAAGCATTCAGTAAATCCTTGTCACCATTGGTAGCTATGTCAAATACTGATTTCTGCATTTTCCTTGATTACAAAATCACAAGTACTTCACTTTTCACAAAATCATCTTTAAAAAAAAAAGTTTAAAGGCTATATCATAGTCTTTAATGTACATGTAGATACATTACAAACTATGTGACAAATTCCATAATCCATCTAGTCGTTCTCCTGTTCCTCTATGAAGTACTCGGTGTGTGTCAGGCTGTGGAGAAACAGTAGGTGATTGGTGCGGTCCCTGTGGTTACACCCTGGTTCTTTCAGTCTAGTTGATAGTGTGTGCTGATAATTAATGTTAGAAGTGCATCAAGAAACAGGAATGTAATACAGAGTGATTCTTAGGAACTTGCTCATATGAACTTCCTCATCACAAACTTAGAGTGCATTCATCAGCTAGAAACTCCCCATGCTGAGGACATCAACTCAGGCATCCACCACGTGAAAATAAAAGCAAAAGTCACTTGTGTCGTGTGCACAAAAGGACCTCCACCACATGTGTTAATGAGCCTGATAGTCAGGCTTGTCAATTCATGCAAGATTTCATTTAGTTGAATTTTAGGAGCTTTGTTCACACCTTCTTTGGCAAAGAAGTGACTGAAAACCCACCAAAGCACTGACTGATGAACTTCATATTGGAATATTGACACTTTCCACTTGAGGAAAGAAATTTTAAAATCACTTCTTAAAAGCCAGTATCCAGGGTGGTGTAAGAATCAAATCACATAGAATAATAAAACTCATAACCTGCTGTTTTATAATATTCATAAAGAGCACAACATTTAAAGAAAGTAAAATACACATGATTTCACTAAACTTAAATTGCATATGTTTGAGTTTACTGGCTAGTTATCATGTATGTGCACAGATAAATCTGTCTTATGACTAACATTGAAGATGTTTATATGACTCACATTGAAGATAATCATCACTTCTGCTGAATCAGTTCTTTAATAAACATCATGCTAATTTAGAAATCCCTGTGATATGTTTGTGAGATTTTTAAGAAGCAAAGATTAAATTAGGCCTTTTTCATAAGTTTTCCCATGTTTTATTTGAATATGGGTAGTAAATATTTTTGAGTACTTTAAATTCTTCTTAAAATATCTACTGAATAGATTCCCATTTGAAAATGAATGATTTTTATACCTCAGAATCACATATTTAAAAGGAAGGTATCAGGAAATCTGACCTCAAGCCCTTGCTTCATCTTTCTGAACCTCCCTACCTCGTTTAGAAAAAGAGGGGTTTGAATTAGTTTATCTCCCAGGTCTCTTGCAATTCTGAAAGTGATTCCAGAAACTTGCCTCAGTACTTTGAGATACTTGAACAGTTTCAAGAAAAGCCCAAATAATGATGAAAGAAGTTGCCATTGTATCCATATGGAAGTACAGAACAAAACTTGCAAGCAGTTGCTGCTCATTACAGCTGATATGCTATAAATGGTTGTTGACACTAAGACCAGATGTCGTGGAAAATCCTGCATCATTAGGAAGCAATGGGGTGGGGAAGGAACCTGTGTGTGAGAATGTCAGTAGAATCTATTTAAAAACCAATCTAAACAGTGATGCATTATAAGAATTTAGGGGTAATCTCAATGTGTAAATATTAACATAATAGATTGCACTTAATTTAGAAATGCCGACGTTTCTCAAGTCATGAGCATTCATTACAGATATTCAGTGTTCTACACATTTGAAATGGCCAGCTGTACTGGAGTGTAATAGCTGATCACTAATGCACATAATGTCTCTTACAGAGGACAAACCCCTGTGATAAAACCCAATGGGGTTTTATAATTTTATACATACTGTTATAAGATTTTAAAATATATATATTTGTAATGTTCATTTGCGAGGTGAAGAACTAGTTACTTGGCTTCAAAGGTCTGAATAGCCCAAATCCACATAATTAATAAGAATTAATAATTAATAAGAATCAGGCCCAGGACATAAATCCATATCTTCCTTTTCTATCTAGATCATAGTGCTATGCCCCCATGTTCAAACATAGTTGTGTTGGAAGGCTGGAGTTTCTGATCTCACCTTTCTGATTTGTTTTAGAAGGTCAAAATAGTAGAATATTAGCAGTTAATGGTGTAATGGTGACCCTTTCTATAAGGAAGTAGCCACTAATTTGATGAGAGATTCTACTATTTCAGCTTTTGTGGAATATAACCACAAATTATCTTACTTTCTGTAGACATTCATAATCTAAATTTATCAACTTGCCAATGAACTTTTGTAGTGCAATATGTTCTTAAGTTGGAAGCTATCTAAATGGTAGCAATTAAAATATATGTGTACTGCCCTGGTTTAAATGCTGCTTTAGAAAATCTTGGTGATTAATTCTCCTGTTTCCTTGCAGAACATTATCAAACAAACATATTCCAAAGAGTTGACTATAAATCAAAAGTATGTGATATTTTTAATGTTTTTTTTGAAGCTGGCCATTAGAAGCAATCTTGTGATAAAATATTTTATAAAACAAATAATCCTTTAATAAAGTCAGTAATCATCCTCATTTTTCAGTTTGTACTCCATAATTCTGTATTTTAGGTTTGCCTAAAGATACGCTTAAACATGAAGTCATTTCAGTGCTATTAATATTTGAGTCTATATAGTAACCTTGAAATAGCCATACCTTTTCCTGTGCATAACTGCAGCTGAACAGTCTTCTTGGGTATAAGGTGAAACACTGATCCAGATGGATTTATTATTTCCTGGATAAGTCACAGGGCCCTACAGAGAGGTCTTAGAGATCGTCTCTAGGTATGAGTATTTGCCTCAGTCATTCGGAGACTGTGCATCAGAAAACTCCAAGGCGTTCCCTTTCTTCTGAATTAGCAGATACTTGGTGTACAAGGGCATAATGCACCCAGCACTGCCCAGAATTGTTTGATTTATTAATAAGAATAAAAGCACATTAAATTGTTTATAAGTTTATTCATTGATGACACTGGCATTTGGTCAACAAAGTTAAATAACCACTTGAAATTGAAAAGACCTAAAATGATTGCGATTTCTAAAGTGATTGGAACTCTTTCCCTAAATGAGTCTGTGTTGACAAATTGAGACAGCTGGGTATTTGCAGAGATCTCTGACATCTCAATGCTTTTGAATATGAAGGTCACAGAGACATTTATTGTTTGTGTTTTCTTCCAAGGTATTTATTCCATAAATTAATAGCTGGCAATCACTTCTTGATTAAATGAGAAGGTACATAAATGCAGTGACCATAAGTTTTAGTTGGGAAAATAAAATGTTAAATATTAATCATATAGCATGGTTAGATACTATAGTATAGTGATAGATAAACAAGAATTCCAAGTAATTTCGAATGTTAGATTTTACTGAAAGTTATTTTAGCATGGAGATCTTTCATATTCTTAAGACATGTTCATCCCAACATCCAAATTAAGTTTTCATGTGTTTAGTGTTTAGGTAAAAACCCTGTCAGTCCTAAAACATTATAAAGTTTTCCTTAAAATTACCATTTGTCATAACAGTGGTGAATCTGATGGCAGTGAGCAGCAAGAGCCCGAAGAAGTCTGGTACTTGATTAAAACTTACTTGCCTACACTTCAGTTCCTGTAGACTTAAGCTAATTTCTTCTGAGCTCTGGTTATGAGTCTTTGCTAATTTGCATGGCTGGCTTAATTAATGAATATTGGTTTAGGCTGTGTTTACACAAGGTCAAAACAACAACAGAATTGACTAATTCAGCAAGGAAAAAAAGTAGCAAATTTCATGAAAAAAAATTGAAATCAGTTGTTTGTTAATATATAAACAAAACCAATTTGATTAACAGAATGTTTAAATGTTTCATACAGTTGTTTTGGCATTTGGAGAGTCCATTGTTTCCCAACTTTTTTCAGTCTGAGACACCTCTAAATTTGCTGGGTTGTAGCCCAAGATTAGAAGATGTTGAACCACTCTCCGGAATGCACATACCAATCCAGACAAACTTTCATCCGGATACCTGAGGATCTAAAGATGATAGATTTACATTATGCATTAATCGGTCTCCTTTTCCTGACCAACTTTTCCCTTCATTTCTTAAAACCCACAAAAGCTGTCCAGGGAAAGTCAAGAATTTGTCATGGTGCTTATTTTCAAAATACCAATGTGTCTCGATGACTGGTTGGGAAACAGTGGTGTAGACACAGCCTCATTCCAGGATTGAGTTATCAGTCCTTGAGTAATGATAAATACCTGAGAAAATTAAAATGCGTCTCTCTTATAGTATTCTGAGATGTGAAAATAAATATATAAGTAATATTTTGAATCACACTTTGAAGACATATACATTATGTTTTTAAAAACTAGCTTATGAAAAAAAAAAGCCAACTATAACATTTGGCATGTAAGAGTAGACTCTTTCTGCCTTTAAGAATAAACAGATTCTTAAAGACAGCAATTTTAATACATAATCAGAATAAGACTCCAAAATTTGTACAGAAATTGTTTGGAAACAGTGAGGAATGAAAATCACTACATTTGGGTCCAAACTCTTGAAGTCAACTAGGATTTAATTTGCACAGTTTCACTTGCCAAATGTCTGTAGATTGGTCCAACTCTTGTTATCATTTTGCCAAGTTCCCTTCTGCTGAAAAATGTCTGTGCTCTGTTAGGCTTCTAAGCCAATGTCCGTGGCCAAGTCTGGACCTCAAGCAGCACTTGGAAGCATGTGAGCAGGTCAAGACAGGTGCTCCCATTCATTTGAACTCTCCCCAAGTGATACTCTCTTCAGCCCAGTATCTCTCCAGGACATACATGCATCTGTCTGAAGCCTGCACACATGATCATTTGTAATCATTTTCTAACCATATTTTCCCTGGGATTTAGGAATGACAGTCTCCGGGAGAGAGAACAGTGCATGACTTTTTTTTTTTCTCCTAATCTTACGAAATGTTAGTTTTGAAGAGTCACTTAAAATAGATTCTCACATCAGTCTCTCTTTTCTTTCTAAATAAAGCCTGAGAATTTGCTTTTAGCTAGCAAATCCAAGGGAGCCGCTGTGAAGCTCGCCGACTTTGGCCTAGCCATAGAGGTCCAAGGAGATCAGCAGGCGTGGTTCGGTGAGTAGGGCCCCCCCTCCACCCCCTGCATGCTGCTCGCACTCTCTGGGCCGCAGTCCCATCCCGCTTACCAGCCACAGCGAAACGGAAACGTTCATTCTGACAACTCGACTAGTCGTAAGATAGTGGACTTTTATAAGTACCTAATTTTAGTGACATTAAAAAAGTATAAGTCTAAAAATAAGGGGAAATATAATAGAAGAGCAGTAACACGGACCTTTTTTCTTAAAGAATTGATGAAAAATGGGTGCTGTATTAATTAATAGGAGGATTGCAATATTCAAAGAGTATTTTATTTGAGAGAAAATTGATTGTCCAAATACAGCCTCACTTGATGCTGAAATCTCCTATGTAACTAGGTACTCTGGAAATATTTGCACAGTATTTTGCATGTTTTGTGATTAGCAATATTAAGTTTTAAAAATATTATAAAGCATATAGAGAGAAATTTATATAATATATGGTGTTATGAATCTATATATGTGTGTGTAAGTTTCACCTTCTATTTTTTCAAAGTGCCAGTTTCTGCTCTACAGTTTTGAAATTTCTGTGTCATGAAATTTCTGTTTCCTTGCAAGTAAGGACGAGGTTAACTCTAAACAAATTTAAATTATGGTATTAAATATTTATGGATTACAGTATTTCAAGTTTATGAATTGTTTTGATAAAGAAATTATTTTACCACTGAATTTCTTATGCTTCTCTTTCTGCCGTTGCTGAGTATTAATCCACTTTTCAGGCGGCGTCCTAAAATATAACGTCTCCACGAGCTGCCGCCTTGCCTCTGTCCTCACTGCCAGTGTGTTCAGATTAGAATTGGAATATAGTTCATGTGGTTCAGAGGGTAAAGTGTCTGCCTGCAGTGCAGGAGACCCGGGTTTGATGCCTGGGTCAGGAAGATCCCCTGGAGCAGGAAATGACAACCCACTCCAGTACTCTTGCCTGGAAAATCCCACAGATGGAGGAGCCTTGTAGGCTACAGTCCATGGGTCGCAAAGAGTCGGACACAACTGAGAGCCTTCACTTTCACTTTCATAGTTGATTTAAAATGTTGTGTTAGTTTCAGAAGTACAGCAAAGTGAACCAACTATACGTATATGTATATCCACTCTTTTTCAGATTCTTTTCCTCTATAGGCCATTACAGAATATTGAGTAGAGTTCCCTGTGCTATACAGTAGGTCCTTATTAGTTATCTATTTTATAAATAGCAGTGTGATTGTGCACGCATACTAAGTCACCTCAGTCGTGTCTGACTCTTTGTGACCCTATGGACTTTAGCCGCCAGGCCCCTCTGTCCGTGGGATTCTCCAGGCAAGAACACTGGAGTGGGTTGCCAGGCCCTCCTCCAGGGGATCTTCCTGACCCAGGGATCAAACCCCTATCTCTTATGTCTCCTGCATTTGCAGGCAGATTCTTCACCACTAGCACCACAGTAGTGTGTATATGTCACACTCCTTTACCCCAGACAAATTTCTGTTTGTTTTCTACATCTGTGACTCTACTTCTCCTTTGTAAGACGTTCATTTGTGCCTTTTAGACTGCACATATGAGCTGTCTTATATTTGTCTCTGTCTGACTTCACTCACTATGACAGTCTCTAGGTCTATCCATGTTGTGGCCAGTGGCAAAGTGCCCTTCAGTTTGAATTGCTTGTCCTCTAAACAATAACAACAAATAGAAAGAGAGCTCAAAAAATGCTTACTTCTTTTGCTTTCTATACAAGTAGTTTTCTGTACCCCTAAACATACACATGTACTGAAAAGTGCACAGATCTCCCAGGACTGCCCATCTCTCTCTCACCTGCCCCAGCCACTTGACGGGGGTGGCTGCTGGGCCAGCCTCATCCGCCGCCTCTGAAGGGAGCCTGACTCAGGACCTCTTTTTGTGCTGCCGGCCCTGCTTCAGTAGTGCCTGACCGCGATCCTTGTCTCTGATAGCTCTGTTGAATACGGCCTTTTACATGAAGGTTGTCCTTACTTACCAGGTGAACCTAATACCTCCAGGTTTGGCATTTGTTGTGTCATACTTTGTCACGTAACTGGACAAAGCTGTTCCTATTAACTGCAAACTGAAAAGAGGTAAGGCCTAGAATCAGTGCTGTAAATCTGAGATTCAGAGACATCGTTTTATCCTAGGAAAGTATAATTGACCCTGATAAAGAACATACACTTACAGGACTTGGGATTCAATAGGAAGTCGTGGGGCTATCACAGAGATGGGCAGAGCAAATCACTGGAGGTACAGAAATGGATTAGGAGGTCCTGCCCTTCAAAATACTCATACTTGCGTATCAGTAAGTATTTAGCAGGCAGCGTGGGAGCACCTTTAACAGAAGCAGGTGTAAGGTGCTCTGGAGCACAAGAGAAGAATTGTGGAAATTTCAGTGACTGAGACAAGGCTTCCCCCTTTCCGGTGGCTGAATGGGAGTTTTGTTCACTGGCATGCAAGGAGATAAAAAGGCATTCCAGACAGAGGGATCAACACATTCAAAATTTCAGAGGCATGAAATAGTTTTTTTTCTGTTTCAGCAATAGCGAAAAGTTGATTACAGCTAAAGTAGAAGGTATACTGAGTTGGGGAGCTGATGAAGTAAGAAAGGATTTTATGTTCTTTTGAAGGATTCAGAACTTACCTTAGATTTAGGAATCTGGTGAGAATTTTTGAGTTAGAGGAGGACATAATCGGGTTTCTGTTGAGTAACTATTTGGTAGGAGGATGGCTTTAAGGATAGCAGGCAAGCAACCAGGTAAGATAAGGCAGAAGTTCAAATTATGCATGAAGACAGCTTGAACTAAGAAGAACACAGGAGCAAGCAAGTTCCAGGTTAACAAGCAGAAAGGACAGGAACCCTGAATTTTAAGGGAATCTGTTTAGAGGAAATCAGAATCCTGCAAGTTGGGTTCCAAGACAGAACTCTAGTCCTTTCTAGAACAAAGCAGGACCCCACTTCACGAGATACCAAAAAAGGAACTTAAGCTCAAGGATGTGATTGCCAGAACTATGTACAAGATGATAATTGGATATCGGGAATAAGCCAGAAGCCTTATTACAGAGCCAAGGATCAAATTTAACATTGACAACTTGGATGATGCTTGTAAGAGTATTGAAGTTGAGCTCCTGAAATCTCACTTGTTTGGGTGAGATTTCATCTCTTTGCTAGATCACAAGCTGTTTGAGGGACTATGTGTAGTACAAAGTTTCTGCTTTTTGAATTAAAATACTGCAGCTGATATCCTGGCTCTGATTCTTAACAACTACATAATATTAGGCAAGTCGCTTTAACTCTGTGAGGTCGGTGTCCTTTCTGCAGATGGAAATAATAAACACTCTTTCATGAGGCTGTTATGAGATGAGTGAAACAGACCATCGAAATATGCCTGGGTTTTCAAAGCTGTTCAGTAAGTTTTCAAAACTGTCTTGGAATGAAACATGTCACAGAACCAGCCTACACAGTAGAAGTTGTTGAGTGAATGACTAAATATCAGGCTAGTGAAAGCAATAGCATCCATATAAAAGTATGCAGATTTTCAAATTGCGATAATTCATTTCTCAAGGCAAACTGGTCTCAGACAAACAATGACAGATGGGGAGTAAAATTCCCATTTTTTTCTTTGGTATGGTGATAATCAGCTAAGTTCCTGCTAAGATACCTATTAGGGTAATGACTTTTAAAAGATACATTTTAAGGTCTAAGAAAATTCATCATTTTAAAAGTATAAAAAAACATAGTTTCTAAGCTTAGGAGAATACTTTTTTTAGCCTTCTTTTAAAGTTGTTGTTTTTTTTTAATGGGTTGCAAAGAGTCAGCCATGACTGAGCAGCTGAGCACATTCAACTCAAATTTCAGTGAATCTGCATGGATAACTAAGTGAAGGGAATGTGGTGTACTACCTTTCTTTTGGAGATATTGCCTGATATATTTTAGGTTTTAGGAAGAAAGGAATGTTTTAGTATGAATGATTTGTTTTTATATTTATTCCGTTTTCTGCCATAGTCTCATGTATTTGACTGATTAATTTTATATTTTAAAAGATGTAAAGGTTTTGAGTGGGGAACCTTTTTATTTTAATAAGAAAAAAGCAGAACTCTTTCTTCATTATGTGTAATGCCAGAGTTTCAAGCTTTTACATAGTTTTATTTTAATAAATTTGAGGTCTACTCCAAATAAAAATTAAACTATTCAAGCCACTATAGAAGCTCTCTATTGTGTTCAGTTATTTCCTTATTTTCAAGATCAAATATTTGTTTTTCCCATGTTACTTCTTCTATCTTTTTTTGTATATAGCCAAAAAGCCTAGAAGCAGTAGCACCCTGTAACACATGTGTAAGGTAAATTAGAAGATTTACCAAAGAGAATAATCTGTTTCTCCTGTGGGATTGGAAATGCTGTTTGCAATCCATTTCTTTCTTTCTTTCTTTTTTTCTTTTTTTTGCTACTAGGAAAAAGGGATAACTGCCATGATCTATTTCTTATGGAAGAATTCTTTTGCTTGGTTGCTATTATGTTATTATGTCTCTTGTTTAAATATTAAGGGTTTTTTAGCGGCAGTATGTTGCAGTGGATTCTGCATGTAAGTAATTCTGTTTTCTCTTTGATCTGTTCTGGTATTCCTGTTGGTTTTTCAGAATGAGAAACATACACCGTCTCTAAGGAAGGCTAGCTCTCATTAAATTCCTGTTGATAGTTTATGTCATAATAAACTAGATTTGGGAGCTTAATCTCATGCTAAAGAACATCTAGTTTGTCTTACCCTCAGTATTTCTGTATTCATGAGAACATGTTGTAAAGTGCACTGTTTTAACATTTGTGTGTGTAGATGTAGGCTTCACTATTCTTAGGGGTAAGGATCCCCAACTGCTCAAATGACAGTTGTGCTAAATAGGAGCAAGTATCTCTTAGCATTTTAGTCTCCAGAAGAGGTTTGTAATAATTTACACTTAGGATTATCACTTCATTTCTTGCATAGTGATTACTTCTTTATCTTTTCTACCTCGATGAAGTTAACATTTCCTACTCCAGGCATGTATTCTACCAAGTTATTTCAGACATACATTAAAGTTTACCAATTCTAGATAGGAGGTTACAGATTGCATATAAACGGGTAGTCAAAATTCAGAGAAAGGACGGACCACTGAGAACTGTAGGAGATGGAAGTAATTTAGAGTCGCCCTATGTTAGAGAAAAAGTGCTCCCTCCCACACATACACAAAAAAATCGAGGGTTCAAGAAACAGAAAAAGCATCGTTAAGGGTGAAAATGGAAAGTTTATTTTCAAGAAATCTTAGAGATTTTTTAGGTTAAGTGCCCAGAAGTAGAAAGATATTATGTTGAGTGAATGAAGGAGAAGTAGTGGGTAGGACCAGATGATAAAGTATCTTAAAATGCCAGGTGGGACCTCAGTCTTTAATCTGGGCTTTGGAATCTGTTTCCCATTGGATTCACTTTGTGTCTCAACATTTGGAGGAGTTGGAAAGGAATGGTTGGAATGAGAGAGCAGATATGGCAATGAGAAGCCCTGAAAAGCTCTTGAAAGCTAGTGTGCCTGCCTCTGCCTTAGAATAGCAAACTTTCACATGGCTCCTTCAGGTAGTCCTTGAACTTCAGGCAGGGGAACCACCACTGTTGCTCAATAATTCTTTCCAGCTCACAACTACTGAACAAACATTTCTATCAAATAAAGTTTGAGATAGAGGTGGATCCACCGTGGTCCATGTAAAGCTTAAACTACAGCATACAGGTCTTTTCTTGAAGCTCCTTCTCACTGTCCTCCTCATCCTCCTCTAAAGCAAACAGGAGAGGACAGGTAATGAAAATGGGGGGGAAAGTGAAATCCAAAATCCTTTGCCTCAAAATGTAACTTTGTTGTAACCGAGTTATTATATGTATGCTTGCTTCTAAGTATAGATTTGTTTTGGAGGTGGGGAAAGCTCCTTCCTTGGACGCTTTGCATCCCAGTAAATAAACAATGTGCTTCACCACTGATTTGTAGTCAGAGGAATTCCTGATTACATATCCTTTTAAAGAACACTTTCCAATTTCTGTATGCATTTAAAGAAAATTTCCAAATAGCCATAGCTATTTTTGGTAATTTTTAAAGTAAATATTTTTTATTTGAAAACCATTATTTTCATAAATAAGTATTTTACTCTAGATGCTAGCTATTAATTATCATTTAAGTATACCTTCTTGGAAGTACTGATTTATCTGATAGGAAACTTTCTTTAGCCATCTAGTTTTGCATACCTCATCTCTTAAAAGTCTAGCTGATACTTGTTCAGTAGTGACTCATCTAAATATTCCTGAGTCTTCTCTTCAGTTGCCAGTTATAAGTACACAGTGATTACTTATTAGTACAGAGTGAGCTCTTTGATATATTATGAGCGCATTTCTTCTCCTAGTGAGTTCTTCAGTTACTCTCAGCCCCATCCTCCTCCCTTAGACTACCTCACTATCAAAAATATTTACTGAAAATTTTGGGTCCTTCTACTTGGTAGATAAGTGTTAGTCAATCATATCGACTCTTTGCAACCCTATGGGCTGTAGCCTACCAGGCTCCTCTGTCCATGGGATTCTCCAGCAAGAACACTGGAGTGAGTAGCCATTCCCTTCTCCAGTGGCTCTTCCTGACCCAGGGATCAGAAACAGGTTTCCTGCATTGCAGGCAGATTCTTTACCATCTGAGCCACCAGGCAAGCCCCACTTTCTAGGTAAATACCCCTCATAATCGTGCTTCCCTGGTGGCTTAGCGGTAGAGAATCCGCCGCAATGCGAAAGACACAGGTTCGATCCCTGGGTCGGGGAGATCCCCTAGAGAAGGAAATGGCAACGCACACCAGTATTCTTGCTTGGAAAATCCCATGGACAGAAGAGCCTGGTGGGCTGCAGTCTCTGGGGTCGCAAAGAGTCAGACACGACTGAGCAACTCAACAACAGCAACAGCCTCTCTAATATATTACGTAGGCAGCATGATACGTGTCACCTTCTGCGGTTTTCTCCTGATTTCTCCCCAGGCATGGGGTGGCATGTCTGACCCTTTCACGGGTTCAGTTTTAACTTCCACATGAAGGGGAATCAGAGCTACTGAGCAAGCGGTCTGAAGTGTATACACTGACTGTGCAGCACCTTAGAAAGGTTTTTCTATCTGGGGGAAAGAAAGATGTGTTTCTTCTAATTAGCTACAATGCAGGACAGATTGATGTTAAGACTGCTATAGAGAGAAGCTCATCCAGGTTATTTTATTTCCCTAAGAGCTGTGTCTTATCCTGACAAACAGATCAACAGATAAAGAAGCCCAAAGAAGCTTCTTCCTTGCTTTGTCATTTCATATTGGTTTTGCCAAGTTGGTTTTCATTCATTAACATCTGTTTTCCCTAGGTTTTGCTGGTACACCTGGATATCTTTCTCCAGAAGTTTTACGTAAAGATCCTTATGGAAAGCCAGTGGATATGTGGGCATGCGGTAAGGAATCATTTTCATGCAAATTTTGCAGCACACCACTATTGTTACAATGAAAATAGTATCTGTCAAATCTGAGGTTGATGCCCTCTAGCAATCAACTTAAGAAAGTTACATTCTCAAACTTTAGCCTACAACAGAGTCGCCTGGAGAGCCTGTTAAAGAACATTGCTGTTTCTGATTCAGTAGGTCTGGGACGGGAGTGTTTGCGTGTCTAACAAGTTCCCAGGTGATGCTGAAGCTCGAGGCCCAGGAGGCACTTTGAGATAGGGCCGTGGAGTGTCCCCCTACAGAGGGTGTGGAGTTTCTGCCCCTGTCCTCTCACCTCCTCCAGGGAGCCCTGACCACAGCTGTCCTATCTGCAACACAAGATGCTCAGCAGGGATTAGGAGAAAAAGAGTGCATCTTGGAAAAGAATGAAATTGTCCTGTGGGGCCTGGGCTCTGGTTTAGGCCTGGCTTTTAGCAACAAGCTCTAATCAAAACGTAGCCTGTGTAGGCTCAAAGAATGGGGAGAGTTTCCACCACAACTTTTATAGCAGAATTTCTGTGTGTCAACATACACTTCAAATGTAGGAGATGGAAATAAAAGGGGGTACTTCAGGGTATTCTGAAACATTTTCTGCTGGAGTTACTGGGCAGGCGCTAACCCTCTAGGCTTCTGACACTGTATCATTAGCACAACCAACAAATTGGTGTGTGATCTCCAGCTGGGTGTATCTTGGCTTTTAGAGCCATGCCTAAGAAGACAGATGTGAGATGAGCACAGCATTTAGAGTCACAACGCCTGGGTTCAAGTCTGCTTTGCACTGGCTGACCACCCCAGCTCGTTAGTATCACTGAGTTGGCTTCTTTACCTGTACAATAGAAATATTTGACCTTCATAGAGCTGTATGAGGGTCAGATAGGGTTTTTAGAGTTTGTAAAGCAATTTGAAATGCAAACAGCTATTATTATTCTAAAAAGTTGGAATTGTCACTTAAAAGGCAGTGTCTTAGGTGAGCTCCAAGCTCTATCTTCCTGCCTGAGACTATTTCCTAAGCAGGAACTCTAAAATCCTTTTGGTGAGAGCATTGCCACAAAATGCTGTTGTTCAAGTCTAAATGTTAATGGAAGATAACTCAAAATATTTTGTTTGCAAGAAATCAACCTCCGTCACAGATCTGTTTCTGTGGATGAATTTTAAAAGGAGCGGAGTACCCCAAGAGACTGACAGATGCAGATGGCTTTTATTGGTGGGCGAGGATGAAGCTAGAGTGGTACCCAGCGCTGAAGAGAGGGTGTGATGTAGACAGGTCTGAACCAGAGTGACATCTCAACCAGAGTGAGACCATCTTTTAAAATGGTGATGATAATGGTACTTGCCTCCTAGAACTACCAAGAGGAATTTTTACACACACACATCTCGAATGACTCTAGAAACTCAGGGCCACAGGGCATCTTTCATATTTCAGCTCGTTTTCCCATGGGTAGAGTTATCTTTCATTTTGCTCAGTTCTCTCCTTACTTTTTCTTTTTACATGTTTTTTTTTTTTTTTTTTTTTTTTTTACAAACAGCCAAATCCCTCTGTGACAAGCCTGCCCTATTTAGGGCCACCAACCCTTATTTTCTGTAGAAATTTTGGCATCCTTTAATTGCATGCTGAAAAATGCCCTTGGGATCACACAGTTAACTGCAGAAGTGTCTTAGATATTACAGTGTTACATATTTGGGGGAAATTACCCAACCACACACACACACACACACACACACACTGCTCACTACCTGGAACATAATAAGATATTTTTATGCCTTTTGTTACATTTCTGGGTCTCTGCTGTTTGGAATAGCTTTATCATTTTATTATATGTCTTGAAGTTTACATTAAATTTAGTTTACTTACAAGATGGTACACCTTTTCTCATTCCCATTGTAATAGTTGCCAAAGTAATGTACACTTTATTTACTGCTTTTTGGTAATGGCAGATCTTGAGAGAATCTCTTTTTCAATCATTCCTCAATACTAGCTCTTAATAACTACTTCTTTGCAAAGCTAGACATTGGATAGTATGGTAAAAAAATGAGATAACCCAGATAAGAAAGGAAATACAGAATAAGTCATTTAGCAAAATAGCAAATACTCAACCATAGTTGCCTTTGGGCAATTGACACAGAACAGAGTGAAGTACAGCTTTGGTATAATGGCTTAAAGAAATCTGTGCATTTTTTTCATTAGAAACATACAATAATCCATACACAGAAAATTTTAAATACTTATCACCACTGCTCTAATGATCTCACACAGAGTATAGCCTGACTTATATCTGGGATTTGAAAGCTACTAGTCCATTACTGGCAAGTAAATGATAGACATTAATGAAGCAAGAATATAGTCCTGTGTTCTGCCATTAACAACAGTAAATTGGTTTAGATAGTTTTCTAGCTTATATAGCTATTTCTGTAATTCCATAGTGGGGTGAGCAAATGTTTATAGATGCCACTGAATGACTGGTTTTTAACAACTTCCTTCTACATCTTGGTTTTAAAAAATAATAAATGTAAGTCTGAAAATATAGTGGACACACAACTTGTCATGTTACTTCTCTGCCTGCATTAGATATCAGAACAGGTGTGAGTGATAATAACCTAGTGGCCGTCACAGAATATATTGTAACTTGTAACAAACCTTTGAAATCTTAGGGGGATGTGTTCCTTGTTTCCTTTCATGGCCAAATTAGGTCCAGCAGTTGTGTGACTTCTGAGCCTTAGCCTTTCCATATTTCAGCTGGAATAGGTCAGCATCAAGCACTTTCTAAGAAGGTATTTGCCGTTTTGAAATCTCAAGCCTGCTGGACAATGTGTTCCTTTCACCAGTTCTGTGGCTCCTACACTGAACCATCCAGCTGTGCCTCACATTCAGAAGGCTCTCTGCCTTCATCCCTGACAACCCACGTCTTCATTAGTCTTCAGCCCTTGGAGCTTTCTTCCCATAATCTCTACCAACATTCTCTTATTCTGAACTGATATACTTTCAGATATTTCTCTAGATATAGTATTTATTTATTTCCCTGACTTAATATTTTCAAACTGTGGATCACAGACCACATGCTTCAAGGTGACCTACCCAAGTACTTATCAAAAATACAATTTTCTGGGACCCACCCATGAAACCACTGAATAAGATTCTCTGTGATCAAGTTCAGGAATTTGCATTTCCACAAACTTTCTGATGCACACCACTATTGGGCTGCATAATGCAGCTAGTTGCAAATTCCTTTCGGGCAGCAAATTTAGGATTCTTAGGTAGAGCACAAATTACAAACAGGTGATCTACAGCTGTACTGGCCAAACACTTGGACCATTTGTGGGGGGAGGGGGAGAGAATTGACATTTATCTTTAAATTTATATAATAAATTATATAATTGTCAGATTTCTTTAGACGTTATCAGTTTCTGGCTTCCCTAAAGTAATTGAAAGAACTAATAGCAAGATGCTTGTGTTCTTACGAGGCTGCTGTACCTGCCAGACAGACGGACACAGGCTGTCCCCGGCACCCTCCCTCCCTCCTGCCCAGCAGGCACCTCAGCCTGATGCCAGGCAGCCTTGTCAGTTTGCCAGCCCTACCGCGTGACAGAAATAGCTTTCATCATCTGAAAAATAATTTACTAACTTGTTGGCCTTGATCTTTGAGATCTTTGTTCTGCCCATCATTGGCCCCTTAGGTCCCAGAGTATTTCCCTATTTGAATTGTGTTTTGGTTTTGGGTTTGCATAAGGGATAAAAGGAAGCTGTTCTTATCCCTCACTAGTTAATTTCCAGACTCCCCTGCATTGTGCACACGAGCTCGTGGTGTGCCCTTTACTTTTTGAGCATTTGAAGTGGGTGCTTGTTAGACTGCTCTGTTAACTTCCCACTGACTTCTCAAGAGTTTCTCAGCATTGCGGCTTCACCTTTTTTTCATAAGAACAGCCTTTACATTCTAAAGCTGTAGCTTTTATTAAAATCAGTTTTGAATGTTCTTGATAATATAGTCTTTCTACCTAATCAGTAATCAGTACTTCTCAACTCATTAATCAAACATCTCTTAGCATATTCCAAGCACAAATGTGCTTGGATAATGAAAATTTGTTTTAACTTTCATTTTTTTAAAATGTTATATGAAGTGGACTGTGTCAAATAGTTTAGCTTTTATGGAAAATTTGTTGCAGAAAATTCTCTCTACAAAAGTAGAGAGGATAATAGTATACTGAACTGGTAGCTAATCTTATTTCATCTTCATCACTTGACTCAGTCCTCCATCTCAAGATTATTTAAGTCACATCCAAACATCATATCAATATATCTATAAATATTTTAATGAATACCTCTAAAAGAAAATGGCTTTTTAAAAAACATGTTATTAGAAATATTTTTAAATGTCATGTAATAGTAATTGCTTAAAATCATCAAATATGTAGTAATTTTGCTATTTGCCCCTTTGTCTCATAATTTCATTATCAGTTTGGTCTCTTAAGTCTCTGTTATTTGTAAGGTCTGCTCCTCTGTCCCCCTCTTCTTCTCCTCACTCCTCTTTCCTTGTTTCTCAATTTATTTGTCGAAGAAACATGTAGTTCCCACAGAGCACACCTCAGACTTCCCAGTCTGGTCTCTATATACTGTTTGCCTCCATAAGAAATCAAGATTCCTTGTAGAAGTGGCTGATTCCAAGTCTGGATTAGGAAAAGTAATGATCCAAGAGCATCTGGTGAGACCAGAAAGAACAGAAACTATTAAAGGCTACAGAGCTTTTATTAACAGGACTCAGGAGCCACTTTGAAGTGCCTTCGACTGGTTAAAGATAGGACAGTTAGAAGATAAATAAGAAAAATAACAGTAGTGGATTAAAATATTAAATACATTTAAATTTATGTATGCACTCATAGTAATAGTAGTCAAAATACAACCTAAATCCTGGCCTTTGTAGGATGTTTGGGGAACCAAAGTGTTATTTTGAAAGCTGATTATTAAAGAAGGGAAAAACTAATTACCCTATCTTTCCTCTATGAGCCATATCTCAGGGTAACCAAACAGCTGATGAAATAAGTTATTCTTAGACTAAGGAAGGCATAATAGAACTGTGCTCAGCTGTGTCCGACTCATTGCAACCAAGGGTACTGTAGCCCACCAGACTCCTCTGTCCGTGGGATTTTTCAGGCAAGAATACTGGAGCAGGTTGCCATTTCCTACACCAGGGGATCTTCCTGACCCAGGGATCAAACCCACGTCTCTAATTGACAGTTTCACATCAGTCTGCTCAATAATGTCTTGTAGCCTAAAAGTATTTTTAAATCTACTATATTTATGCTATTATTTTATTTAAAGTATATTTTTTGTAGACATCCCTCAAACAAATCATGAGCATTTATTAATGTAGTGGGTGCTGATTCTTAGGGAATGAAATGTCTGTGAGCCTCCCTTCCCAGAAAAGTACCATACCAAGTGTCAACCAGTAGACGTAACTCACAAGAACAAAGCTTCAAAAGCAGGCCATGCCCAGGTCCAGAATGCTAAATGTTGCAGATGTGGCTCTGTTTTATAATTTTATAACAACTTAACTCCAGACGTTTATTAGAGAAATGACTAATATTTATAGAAATAAATAACTATAGACTGTTTCCATTGCAAAGCTGATTTTGTTCTTCACCCCCTAAACCATAGCAAAGGGTTAAAGCTATTTAGGTATATCCTCTTTTCTACTTGCATCCAGGCACTCATCATCATAATTATTATCATCATTAAATGCGTCTGTTAAATCAGATAGGAAAAATATTAAAATAAATTTAAATGAATGAACATTAAGTCTGTGATATGTTGAAAGATAGAAAAAAACAATTTTGTATTGCAAAGTAAGGTACCAATGTTATATTTGATTTTCTGCACTGTCCTTTTTTTTTTTTTTAATTACACTGTGGTGAAGTCCCTTTTGATCTTGATTTTAAAAGTGTTGTTGGGTTTTTATTTAAGAATGTCTTTTAAAATGCTTTGTTCTGATCATAATAGCTTTTTGAACTGGGTCTTCCTGAAGCGGGCTAGAAAATCCTAGGGTGACTAAACCGTTGTTTAAAGCCATCTTGGCTGCAACAGTGTCTGTCATATAAATGTGTCGGGTCTGGTGAACAGGAGCAGGGCTGTGTCCCTCACAGAGTAAAGGTAAGGAAATGAAGAGACCAGCTTTGGGAAACAGTAGATGCAGGCCCACCAGGGAGCATGTCACCTAGCTTACCACCTCCCAGGCTTCTCTGGTGAAGGGGACTCCACAGGAGAAAAGCAGGCAGGAGACAGCAGACTTTCCGCTGGGGCAGTGGGCTAGAAATGCAAGACCTTAAGCAAAAGTAGAGGAAGGGACATATGATGACAAAGAAGATGATCCAAGGAGACATTTAAACCTCAGATTTGATTTCAGGGCAAGTTAAAAACTACTGGATACAAGACTTTTGTTTAATATAAAGATTAAATCAGGTGTTGATTAGTTTCTCAATAACTGCATGTTTATGAAAAAGATATTAAATTGTCTTAAAGCTGAGCATTTAACTCTGAATTTTATGCACAGTTTCAGTCTCCTCTTTTCCCTCTTTGTAGTATATGCTCTTCTGTAGTATCACTGATTTAGCTGTTTTACTGAAGAAACTATCTTTGAAGACTAAGATCATTAGTGAGGAAAGGATTTTCATCTTCTTTTATGGTACCCACACTCCCAGGCACCCTGGATATTCAGAGCATGAATCTGTAACCGGGGCACCATTGCGCCACAAAATGTCCTAATTAGCAAAATGACTCAGTTCAGTTCAGCTCAGTCGCTCAATCATGTCCAACTCTTTGCGACCCCATGAACCGCAGCACGCCAGGCCTCCCTGTCCATCACCAACTCCTGGAGTTTACCCAAACTCATGTCCATTGAGTCAGTGATGCCATCTAACCATCTCATCCTCTGTCGTCCCCTTCTCCTCCCACCTTCAGTCTTTCCCAACATCAGGGTCTTTTCAAATGAGTCAGCTCTTCACATCAGGTGGCCAAAATATTGGAGTTTCAACTTCAACATCAGTCCTTCCAATGAATATTCAGGACTGATTTCCTTTAGGATGTACTGGTTGGATCTCCTTGCAGTCCAAGGGACTCTCAAGAGTCTTCTCCAACACCACAGTTCAAAACCATCAATTTTTCGGTGCTCAGCTTTCTTCACAGTCCAACTCTCACATTCATACATGACCACTGGAAAAACCATAGCCTTGACTAGACAGACAAATGTCTCTGCTTTTTAATATGCTGTCTAGGTTGGTCATAACTTTCCTTCCAAGGAGTAAGCGTCTTTTAATTTCATGGCTGCACTCACCATCTGCAGTGATTTTGGAGTGCAAAAAAATAAAGTCGGCCTCTGTTTCCCCATCTGTCTGCCATGAAGTGATGGGACCAGATGCCATGATCATAGTTTTCTGAATGTTGAGCTTTAAGCCAACTTTTTCACTCTCCTCTTTCACTTTCATCAAGAGGCTCTCTAGCTCTTCTTTGCTTTCTGCCATAAGGGTGGTGTCATCTGCATATCTGAGGTTATTGATATTTCTCCTGGCAGTCTTGATTCCAGCTTGTGTTTCTTCCAGCCCAGTGTTTCTCATGATGTACTCTGCATAGAAGTCAAAGAAGCAGGGTGACAATATGACTAAGAGGCAAAATGACTAAGAGGAAGTAGTAGTATGTCATGTTTCTAAATGTCAGCCTCTAAAGTGACTAAAATCACATGGTATCTAGATAGATAAGAGCATAGGGCGGTTGTGCGTACGCAGGGCTCAGGGCGGCCCAACGTGCCCCGGCAGTGGTGGGGGAGCTTCGCATCTCTGTGCTGCTCCGCTGTGCTTTTCAGAATTAGCTCTTTGGTGCGTGCCTTGGACTGTCACGTTGTCAAAGTCCTTGAGCAGAGGAGGAGCAGCATCCACCCTCCACAGAACACTTCAGATGACATGTCTCTGAAGTTTACCAACCATCCAGTGTTCTGTCTTTGAATGGATGTGGCTTAATATCATTGTGGATCTGCCCTGTTTAACTTCTCGGTGTCTCTGTTACTTAACATTGTGTTAATGTGCTCATTCCCTACAGGAGTCATCCTCTACATTCTCCTGGTTGGATATCCACCCTTCTGGGATGAAGACCAACACAGACTCTATCAGCAGATCAAGGCTGGCGCTTATGATGTATGTAATAAATATTCATATAGCTTTATATTAGGGTTTTTTTTTTTTAATTTATCAGAAAACAGATTTTTCATTGCTATTTTAGTAATATCCCTTATTATTGTCCTCTCCTTTAGGAAAAAAGAATAAGATATGTAACATATATATTTAGTTTCTATTTCCTTCTAGCCCTTTATTTCATAAAATTGAAAGGAAAACAGTTTGAAGTCTCTAAGGAAGGACCTTGCTTATCAAAGCTACTGAATCTTAGTGCATTTTAAAATATATAAAAATTAAAGTATTTTTGCTTTAGAAGTGGTTACTACCTATTAGCTGAATTATATTTTCAAATGCTTACTGCATGATTATATGTTAACAATATTTTGCAGTGATCCATATATCAAATAGAACATTGTTCCTTTATGTTTTGTTTTGTTTATCCAGTGAGCTTCTGTGAAAGCATTCATTTAAAGAATGGTTTTCACAGTTGAAAAATATTGGAAAATCACAGTTACAATACATTTAATTTACAATTAGAATATTTGAAACTAGGCATATGAATTAAGGCCTGTATTGAAGAGTAAGGCCTTAACTACTTGTCTATATGGCTTAACTTTTTGCTCTTTGGTGTAATTTTCTCTCCTCTGATAAATATGATTTACCACTTCCTCTGATTTTACCTCACACAGCCCTCTGGAAGTCAGAACGCGAGGTCTGGAGATGCTTTTCCTGTGTTATTAAGTGGGCTAACTAAGTGGTAGGCAGTAATGGGTCCACCTTGTGAGTGCAAGTTAAGAGCACAGTGTGGTAAAGAGAGAAGTTATGAGAAATCTATATTATACTGTATCAGGTGTCATGGACTCCCCTGACTAAATGTAACATGTAAGATGGATGAATGTGTCACAGGTATTTAAAATCTATAATTTTGAAGCATTCCATTATAGCCAGACTAATCATAATTAATCCAAATTGTGATTTGCCTGGCCATTTTAGTGCCCTCACCATCTTTCCAGATTAGAACTAGGCACCCCTCTGGGAAGACACGGGTTTGCTTCTCCCTTGGTGGCTGAGATGGCAAAGAATCTGCCTGCAATGCAGGAGACATGGGTTCAATCCCTGGGTAGGGAAGATCCCCTGGAGAAGGGGACGACTACCCACTCCAATATTCTTGCCTGGAAAATTGCATGGACAGGGGAGCCTGGCGGGCTACAGTCCATGGGGTCACAAAGAGTCGGATATGACTGAGTGACTAATGCTTTCACTTTTCACCTGAAAAGCATAACTCTACAGATGCACTGCTTGGTGAATGTAAAGAAATGCCTTTGTGAAAGTTAGAAAAATAAGAGAAGGACCCACTTTTATCTAGGTGAATTCAGCCCCTCATTTGTTGTCAGAAAATCTCCACATCACAAAGAAGCAGACTTGAGTGTTTCCTCAATAGTTCCTGATGGTTAGCAAGTTTTTACAACTGGCCAAAGTAAACTTCTGGAATTAAAATGATAGGTATTAAACTGGCAAAAATGTGCAAGCATTAAAGAGTCAGTATCATTTTTCTTGTGTTTCATTTTGCCAGTGGATCACAAATGCACATGATAACAAATGACAAATGCACATCACAAGTCACACATGGCTCCTAAAAGTGAACCAACTGAAGTCCATCAGGCCACAGTGACAATGGTTTTTTTCTCAAGATTGTCTATAAAAATTCATAAATTGGGAAAAGAACCTAATATCTTGTCAGAAGCCAATGGGCTATACATTCTTCTTAACCCATCAAGAATAGTATTTCTACTAAATATGCTTATTAGGCGAATGTGAGGTTACATAGTCATCAACAAAAAGTTCACACAGAAATCTAAAATTACTCTATGACTACATATGGGCACTAATGAAAGCTATGAGTGCTGGTCACCTTCATGAGCTTAGTTTTGATGGGATCTATGATTCAGTAGCCTAGCCTTTTTGCAGTGCTGGGGCGACACCCCGCTGGGCTCTGACAGCCTCGAGTCCTGCCTCACTGCTGCGCTCCAGAGAGCTGCAGTTAGTAGGCCCATTTTGGAACAGGAATTTATTTTCTCTGCTGCTACTGCTTATGAGATGTGGCAGTATGTAATACATCTTTTTGAACCTTGGCATAGTAGCACGCTGATGTGACAACCTCTAAGCTTTATTGACTTTTGTAAAATTGCAAAGATAGTTATGAGAAAGATTGCATAAAATTGAATTTGCAGATTAAACAAAGACTTTTTTTTAGAGGACTAGAAGATTCATTTTGTTTTTTCAAATTTAAAAATGTATATCACTACTTATAACATGGCAATTTAGTGTACATCTTTGTCCCTTATAGTTACACACAATATCTTAATATATAGATAAATACATAGAGAGGGAATAGATAGTATATATCTACATCAGTTTGGCTACATGTGTACATATGGCTGAGTCCCTCTGCTGTCCACTTGAAACTATCACAACACTGTTAATCAGTTATCCTCCAAAATAAACCAAAAAGTTAAAAATTTTATCTACATGTAGATACAATTTAACTTCTACAAAAAGTAAATTTATGAAGAAACACACTACTTAAGGAAGTGATTAGTATATTTGACTCTTCCATGTTCCACTGAGTGTATCTCTCTTTTAAACTGTTTATAAACTTGTATTTTTGAAGTTTCCATCACCAGAGTGGGACACCGTGACTCCTGAAGCCAAAGACCTCATCAATAAAATGCTTACTATCAACCCCGCCAAGCGTATCACAGCCTCAGAGGCACTGAAACATCCATGGATCTGTGTAAGTGACTGTTCTCCAAAGACCCCAAGAGCCAAAATAAAAGATATATTCTTTGATTTTTATTTACAAGTAGTCTTGGCAAAATCAGTCTTTCATTATTAGGAAACTCTTGTAATTGAATACTTATAAGTTCATCGATAGGTGCAGAAACCACTAATAAAAATTTGATGAAATTGAGGATACTGTTATGCTTAATATCTTTTAAATATCCTCAATTAAGTTTATTTTTCTCCTCTTCCAGCAACGTTCTACTGTTGCTTCCATGATGCACAGACAGGAGACTGTAGACTGCTTGAAGAAATTCAATGCGAGAAGAAAACTAAAGGTAAGAAATTTCACTTTTGTGTGCAGAGGGAGATTTGGCAGAGTGAGAAGTGAGATTCCATATGAGGAACAGAACTATATTAGAAAGGGCTTTAAAATGTATAAGCCTCAAAACTCTTCTTCTGGATCTTGGGGGAAGTGGAATATCACTGGAATTAAAGCTACCCTGAAGAGCTAGGATCACTGGTGATGTGATCCCTCCATTCAGTGAAAAACAGCTGTGCAAATTAATAATCAGAACCTGGCCGCACCCACCAGGGTGGTTCCAGCATTATTATAAGAAACATAGGCCTGCTACTCTGAGGAAACCAAAAACTGAAAAGAAACAAAAATCTCCTGACTGAAAGTAAGGTTAGGAGAAGACTTGTTATCAAAAACAGTTATTTGTTAGGTTAAAGATTTGCAAAAGCAGCATTAATTTTATATTCTTATTGTTCTGACAGGGTGCCATCTTGACCACTATGCTGGCTACGAGGAATTTTTCAGGTACATGTGTTAAGAACTCTGCTCTTTCTCCTCTCCTCTCTAGTAGCTTTTTTTGGAATTTAAAATTTTTAGTGACTACATAAAACACTGTTGTTCAGGGATGGCAAAGATGTGGCATGGGTTCCTTCACACCTGTGACGGCCATGTTGGATTTGATGTGGGTGCTATCCCACAGAGGTGTTAGCTGGCCCATGACTACACTTTTCCCTTGAGCACCCAGGCAGCCTCGCCACTAGACAGCGCTGGAGCAGAGCTCAAAACCCAGCTGTCTTCCATGCTGAAGTTGACACAGTTTGTAACTATACTCTCCCAACTTGAAGCTCAGCATTTTGAATGTAGAATTAATTGATACCTCATAAAGTAATAACTATGAATAGTGTCTTTTTGTGTGTGTCTCATTCTCTCAGGGAATCCCAGTAAGATTTTTAGAAGACCATTATTGAGGAACCCAGTTCTCTTAGGCCTAAGTTCTTTTGAAAGTACAGTACTGTAGTATGTTGGCATGCTATAAGAATGATTACAACTTACAAAGGTATCTAAACTTAAGAATTTACAAAGAACCTACCCCACTGTAATAGACATTCTTTGAAATGATTTCCCAGCAAAAATAAGTTTGTTTAAATAATAGACTGAAAGAAGCTTAACTATTTCTTTTATTGTAGGAGTGACTCTCCAGAATTGACATAAAGTATATACTATTTCCAGAAATTGAGTTTTGGAGCCCCCCCTTCTTTGATGGGTTAGCTCAAAGGATCAGGTTTCCAAAACCTAAATTTTGGTAAAAGCTAATCAGTCTTATGTATGGGGAGGGACTGAAGCATTGAGACAGCTACACTGGTAAAAACTTAACTGTTTAGCTATTTAGACTTGAAACCATTGTCAGACAGTTGTACCAAAAATACTACCATTTTCCTTTACTTACTGTCTATATGAGAGTGCTGTGGGGCGTCCAGTGACCCAGCTATGTCTTAAGTGCTTTATTCCTGCCGCATACCTCACCTGCGTGTCATAGTGAAGTCAGGTGATGGATGACCCGTATCATTATCATATTTTCCAAGCTGCTCAACCAATTTCTATTTATTGTTTACCATTTTATTAGGTGGTCACCTTTAGTGCCCCATTGTATATAATGTGATTTCATAGGTTTTTCAAGGACTTCCACTCACCTGTTAAACAACACCAGTGATGATAATGCATGAGTAATGCTGCGAATTGAGGGACTGCATTAGTCAGTTGTATGTATTTTGTCCCGTTTGTTTGGTGTAGTAAAACTTGTTACTGCTGCTGTCAAGTTACCTGTTTTATGAACAGTTGATTAATATATTTGACATTTCTATGGGTGAATTCAGTGTCATCTCATTAAATATTAACTGATATATGCTATATTCAAATGAATTAATATTTCACTGTGGCCCAATAATTAGTGAATCACTAAAAAGTAGGATGGTATGGTATATACAGTTAATGACAGACTAACAGGAAAAAAAAAACTTCAGAATTAAGGTTGTATATTTTGTTTCAGTTTCAAATACACTGTTAGGCGTTAATTGGGCCTTTATTAATATATACACCCATGTATGGAAGCTTTTTGTTTACCTCACATTTTCCTTTCATCATCATGTAAACTAAAAACTCATGACTAATATGTGGATTTGATATCGTTTCTGAATGTCTTAGCATGAAAAGCAAACTTTTTTTTTAATCCATCACTTCAAAACCGACTGAATAACATTAGACTCAGTTACACCTTGTGGTTTATATTGTGTTTTAGTTTTGAGTATTCATTGTGTTTCATTACCAAACATGCTCTTTAAAGTAATTTGTCCATGAGTATATGGTTATAAAGTTGTTTTTATTTTTTCTTTTCTCCCTTTATGTGGAATGTATTTCTTGTGAGGTAAGGTAAATAGTAACCAAAAGGGACATTTCTGCATCTCCCAGGCCAAATCGCTGCTTACCCCAAATCATTGTCTTCTCTTCGCTTGCTATTGCAGTTCTAATTATTCTGAGTTTGCTTTCTAACCTACTAACTGCCACAGGATTCACTGAATACTGCTTTTTAGCTCCAGGCACACAGTATTAGTGCTAAGGCTACTGTTTCTTACAGTCTCATTCATAATAAATTAATAGCTCTGTTGCTAAAAGCTAAATAAAATTAATATCTTTGTATCTTTAAAGTTAAAATGGTACCAATGTGATAGCAAAATAATGGCCCAAATCAAACAGATGTCAGGAAATTACATGTTCATGCAGTTCTATCATAGCTAGGTATTTCCACCTCAGATACCAAATTCTATTCTGATATATTTAAATATATATAATTAACATTAAATTGAAGCATAAATGTGTACTTTGTCCTACATATTTGTGAATGTTCTACACTTGATCTACTAATTGTCATTGACAGTTATATGATCTGTTGACTGTATATGTACCCATTCATAAGTATATTTTTTGAAAGGACAGCATTGCTTTGTAATATACTCAAGGAGTTCAGTAACAGAAGGAATGCTGAATGCTCCCTCCCAAAAAGTAAAGTCTCATAATAAACAATGTACTTTAGGAATTCTTTGAAGATTTCATTTTGTTTTCTTTCATGCCTCAATTTTGTGATTTTTGGTTTCGCAATGTAGAAGGCTTTTGGTTATGAAGCCTTTGTATTCTGATTTTGATGCATTTAAAAAAATACCTTTTTTAAAAGTTCATACACTAAGTGTGTGAAATACTTTCTCTAGGCCAATAATATACCATTTCCTTTTAAATACAGTTATTATTAATAATATTTTTATAAAAATGAAATGATTTGATTTCAAATATGCATATTAAAAAGAATGCTATTTAGCCAGAGCAGATTTTCACGAACGAGTTTTAAACCTCTTGGAAGAGGGGCCCAAGTGGCAGAACTGACATGCCACCATACGTTGGTGTGAATGAACATGTAATACAATCTGTGAGCTGATGTCTGAAGACTTGAAATCAACTTTCTGGATTACAAAAGCATAGTCCAGTTAAAGTTCCAGTATCCTTTTCGCAACCGTGAAATAAAGTCCAGTAATGTAACCGAAAAGTGTCCAATTATTTTCAATGAACTAAATAAAAATTTAGTTCTAAATCTGATGTGACAAGACCAAGAAAAGTGATACTGTATTTCAATGTCCTGTAAGCTCGCGCTCATCAGTGTGACCTTGATAATCGGGCATATGTTGGCCATAAATCAGTAAAGGTAGAAGAAAACAATAACTTGTTTTGTTGCCTGGCTGTGGGTTTCTGTTGATAACTCACTAAACTGATTTTTACCCTCATTTTGCAGCAGCCAAGAGTTTGTTGAAGAAACCAGATGGAGTAAAGGTAAGTTAAACAGGTGCTCTTAAACTCATTTCTGACTTTCAGATGCTGGATCATTTTTAAATGTTAAATATAAGTTCTAAATCATTGTAGCTCATACTTTTTATAGTTCCTTTTTATAGTACAGGATGCAGAATGAAATATAAAATAATTTAATATATAGAAATGACTAATATTTATACCAAGAAAAGCTACATCATTTCTACTTGTTTTATATTAAATAATCATGACAAAACAATATTTTAGGTGGAGTTACTTTAGAAATTGAGTATGTAAATCCTCTCTACTTTACTGTAGCCTCAAACTGTCATGGTGACCTGAAAATTCATGAAAACCAAATGTTTTTCCAAATAGTTATGTAGTGTTCTTTTAAAATTCTGGCTGCTGAATTTTATAGACTGAGAAAAACAAATCGAGTCTAGGAAATCAAAATTCAAAAGACTATTTTCTCTGCTTGGACAGTATTTCTAAAGGTCTTAATTGTTCCTGTTCTTCTGTCATAAGGTTTTGAGACAGAATAAGCATGAATATTCTGAAGAAATATTAGAACATTTTTCCAAGAAAGACAGCAGCAGAGTATTTTTACTTTCTAAAAGTTTTGGGTTTCCAAACAAAATAATACAATTTACTTTCTACTGATGCTGGTTTTTTTCCTGTTGGAATTTACCTTTGATTGAATGTAACCTTATACATGCATTATGTTTGTTATCTTTCCAGAATATTACCTCAATGTTTTATTTCTTTAATCTTTTTCTTTCTCTTCCAATGGCAGACGCCAACATTCCTCATGAACACTCCAACGTTCTTGGGAATTAATTAATTTTCTAACATTTGAACTTGACCCAAAGCCAAGTGGTCAGTTCATTTTGAATATAGGACACAGAATATCCTCTGTCACTTACGTTCATGCCCCGTCATTGCTTCACCACCTGCCTGTGTGTGATTTGGGAATTTCCAGAGCTATGATGATCATGCACTGGTGACTCCCATTAGGATGGCATTTACCGTATACTAATTCCTTTCCTCAGTCTGTAATATTCTCTTCCTTCTTCTTAGTTTATTCAACATAAATTTCAGTAATGACTGTTGATGTCTGCTTTTTTCCCAGTGTTACATTGGTGGAAATGTGGTATTTTAAATTTTCCAAATGTTTTATTCGCCTGTGTTTTTCTGTGGTGTTCAGTGATGCAGACTCATAGTTTCTATTAAGATATTTATTTTCACTACTATTCTTACATAGAAAGAAACATATCCAAAACTTTTTTCTTCCAGTCAACTTACAGTTCCTCTTTAAAGACAAAATTATTCTGTGCTCCATGCTTTGATACTTTAAAAATTCAACCGGTCATATTTTTTTCTTTTCCTTTCTTTTTGACTGGTCAATTCAGAAAAGGAAGTCCAGTTCGAGTGTTCAGATGATGGTGAGGATCTCTGCCAGATTTCTCCTTCTGTGAAAATTCACACTTAGGAATAGATTAATCTTGTTTACCTAAGTTAGTGTAAGTGGAGAAAGTATAGGAAAATATAGGAAAGTATACAAGTTAATGTTTATTAACTATCAAAACACAGTACCCATCTTCAATTATTTTTTCTTTGAAATGGAATTTTTGAGATATATAAAAAGTTTACACTGTCATCCATATATTACTAAAGGGTCTTTTAGAAGACAGTGCAATTTTTTCATAAAACTGAAGAGAGACTATGACATAGTTAATGTCTGTAATTATTGTGAAAAGTGAAAAACTACTATAGGGTTATCTTTAAATAGTTAATCATGATTACTAAAATAGCAGTGATTCTTAGTTCAGATAAACCATAATGCATCCACCATGGAATTCTATAAATAGCATGAAAGTGCTGTTACCATGGACCCATCCTAGTTAAGCACCTTTTGAAAAAATGTTATTAACCTCAAAACTAAATGAACTCAGCACCTGAAAAATAGGAATATCTTGCCCCTGCCTCATAAGAATAACTCACTGCATTATTTAAATATTTGTTTCATTTAATTTTTTAAAATAATACTCTGCATCCATAATATAAAATAAATACATTTCACAGACAAAATTGCCAGAGCTCTTGTATATTTAAAAGGCAGCTGTGGTTGAGCCCATGCTTGATATTCAACTCTTTAAAAGTAAGTACTCCTAGCCTTTTACCTAGAAATTCTCCTGTTGTTTTTAATTAATATTATAAAAACCTTCAAAAGATTTTCTACAGTCAAAAAAAAATCATTAAGCTAATCTTTAACAAAAGTTTTTAATTGTACATTTAAACACAAGTAAAAGTGGTGGTTGAGGCACATATTCATTTAACTAACATTTGCCATGCCTGACAATAAAGGATGGCTCCTCCAGACAGAATGGCCTTCATTTGGAAGAGATGACTGTGTACGCTATGTGTGAATGCATGTGTGGGTGTATGTGTGTTGAGGGGTGTGCACTTGTACGGATAACTTTGTGTACATAGGTGTGCACATGGAACATTTCCAGTAAATCAAAACAGTTCTTAACAAGCACATCCTAGGGAAAAAAATCAAGTCTCATATCTCAAAACAGAAAATATCTCAGTATATTCCTCTTTCATTCTTTGCAACCACTGATATAAGTTAAATGTAGTATATTAAATATACATGTGCTTTAATCGTGAGTGCTTCTGATGATTTGATAAGAAGTTAGCTGTGTTTTGCCAACACTCTTCCTAAATAGGAAATTATTTGCATGTGTATCCCTCTTCTTTTCTTATATATTCTATATCAAACTAAATACTGAATTTTGACCACTCTTTAATAAACTCCATTCTCTTTTATCTCTTTGTTTTGGCTGTTGCACAAATTTTATGTTAAATTCTGTGCACTTTTATTTAAAGAAAAAATTTAAACTATCCACAAAATGTAGATTGATGGTTTAATAGTTTTCCAGTAAAGGGCACCAAGTTTTCTCTTTTCCTGCATGTCACAGAGCACAGTGTTATAGCTTATTTAAATAGTACTGACACCAAATAATCATACATATAGGAATGAATAGAAAAGCAAAATATTACATACCCAAGTTAATTTTTTTAACCTTCTGTCCTCCTCTCGGTGTTACTTTAAATATGGTCTGTAGGTATAAAATATGAAAAAAAGGACTCCCAGAAAGTCTAAACAATTAAATTGGTATAACTGATCATAAGTATCCATATGGTATTATTTTGTGCAGAATGTTTTTCTCTTTAAGTCCTTAAGTATATTTACACTACAATCATGGCATGTTTTTTTTTTAGATGATAATATGTAAAGAAAATAGATAATACAGTGCAAGAAATGAATGTTAATTTATATTTGTTTGATAACCACAATGTAAGTTGTCATGCATGAGTTCAAATGAATGTTGATTATTAGTCTTTGATTCTTTAGTACCCAAACTCAATCAAGTAATTGAAACTCAATTTCAAGTTGCCACTTGACAGCAGTCTTCTCTGTGGGCCATTACAATAATTATTGACCCCCTGAATTGTTTTCACAGCGTGGATTCCGTAGTAATAATGATCTTTCCTTAAAACCAATTATGTTAAAGCAAGGGAATAGTATGGCCAATGTAGTCTTCAACAATAGCCATAGCACTTTGACAGAATACATGGTATTTCCTCTCAAACAACTGTGAAAAATAAAGTCACTTTGCATCCAGCACATAGTAAAGAGTTCAGTTTGCCCATTTATAATTGGAAGATGTATTTTTTAAAGGAGACCCAGACTTATCATTTTAAGAAATTTATTGTAAAGCCTGCGTTTCCTCAGAAGATCTAAGTTTTTCACTGGATACCTACTAAACAAAATGACGATGGCTCCCCAGAGAAAGACAGTCTTATGTGTGACTTCAGGCTCAAGAATCAAATGAAAAAAGCAATTTATTCATAACAGAGAACAATTGGAAGCTGGGCTACAGAATCCAACTCGGAGAGTATGAAAATTTTATATTTATTTCATGCTCTGACACTTGATTTGAGCTCTGCTGAAATAGCTCTTTGTCTGTCTGCTAAGGTGACACAGCCAAGGCAGCCAAGTCCATTTTCCCACTCCACCATCACAGATGTGGCCCTAGCCTGGGTGTGAGCATCGGAGACTAGAATTGATCATCATTCCTGTCAGTCATCACAGTGTCTTTCACATTCATCTTCAGTGGCTCTTTATTTTCATGTCTATATCTCCATGTAGACATGCCGCGTATGGAGACATTGGCTACCAAGGGGTTTAAGGCGTCTCTGTTTCTATTTTCTGCATACCTACAGATAAACAACAAAGCCAACGTGGTAACCAGCCCCAAAGAAAATATTCCTACCCCGGCGCTGGTATACCTGGACTCTTTGTAACCCTTCTTAAGTTCTTGACTGTTTTCCGTTGTTTCTCTCATTTGCTTTCACTCTATAAATATGTATTTTTTTTTATTGTGTTCTTGTTTTTGCTTTGTAAGATACGAAAAAAAAGTTCATTTCTTTTCTTTTTGTTAAGGTAGTTGTCCAGCAGTGTGTTTCTAACATGAGATGATCTCATTTCATTGTTGACCATTGTATGGATGATAGCTGTGGTCTCTGTAGTTAAAAGTGTTGCATGCTGCCTTAGAAATACAGTAGAATGTGCTTTGGTTCTCTTAGCTCTCCTTCTGATGATAGCTGTAGATATGCAAACATGGTTTCTTCTCTTCATGACGCAAATGTTGACATCAAGGAGAGCTAAGAGGACTATTGCTAGACAAAAGTAAATGTAGACCTTATTCAGAATTCCCATTTCTCTCTTATCAAGACTACACGGCTTTGTAAGACCTCAGTTTCTGAGATGAAGAGGCACTGGATAATTTAAAGCTTTTTGTTTGCTGTGTTTTAAATTAAATTATCACTGTTTCACTTTAATCCAGAGAATGAAATTGCATAGCTCTGAGCTTTGAATTATCAATGGGCATGAGTTTTGTCCGTTTCTATCACACTATTAACAACTCAATCAGTGTAACACTGCGAGACCCTATTATGTTAAAATTCAAAGTCTGAATACTGGCAGTCAGTGTTCTTAGTTCCATAATATATCCCCCAAACTATTCCATGTTTTGACTTATGAGTTTCAGAAATGTTTTTGATATTTTTTAACTGTCCTCTGTACTGTTAATTTCAAATGAATGGATAATGTTATGAGATTATTTCACCTAAGGTTAACCAGAAGGCTCAACCAGAAAGCATTTGAAGAAAGGACGGACTCATCAAGACTACTTACTAACAAAAAAACAGGTTGATCACACCTCTAACCAGGGAAAGGAAGAAAGGAAGCAGTAAATATGCTTTAAAAGTACTGCAGCATAAACTGGTAGCAATGAGATGGTTGAGTGGGCAGAGTGTTTCTGATTGAAGCACATTCTCTGTGGGTTGCAGTAACTCCCAGTTGCTAAGGCATCATGTAATGAAAGTACCAAGCATGCCATTGATGTATAGACACTGAATTTTTTTTTTTTTACACCAGTTATATAACTATTATTTTCCACTTGGGAATATTTCTTCAATTTTCTAGTAGAAACAATAGGAAAAATAGTAGCATTTTCTTCATGGAAAAGCATGACTTCACAGACAAATCGTCCATGTATATAATCTATAAAGCAGAAATTTCTTACATATAAATTAACGTGGGATTTAACAGCAATACAGGGCTTCTCTGGTGGCTCAGATAGTAAAGAATCTACCTGCAGTGTGGGAGACCCAGTACAAGCCCTGGGTCGGGAAGATCCCCTGGAGAAGAGAATGGCTACCCACTCCCTATTCCTGCCTGGAGAGTTCCATGGCCAGAAGAGCCTGACAGGCTATATATAGTCCACGGGGTCGCAAAGAGTCAGACGTGACTGAGCAACTAACAGTTTAACAGCAGTACATCTCAAATCATAATGATTAATATGATTAGTTCTAGAACCTTTTCAATGTTCCTTATAATTTCTTATGGACTTTTGAAATACGTTCTTTACAATAGCCCTTTTTAAAGTATGATCCAATGATTCTAGGTTTTCTAAGAGTATTTTTCTGTGTGTTATGACAGCATGATTGGTTCTCAGATTAATTCAGCTGAAAAATGTCTTCACAAACAATTTGAGATTATCTCAGAGAGTTCTAATCTCCAGTGCCAGTTTTCCCAGGGACAGATACTACCAAGTTGTGAAAGAAGAAAGGAAAGCTCTGTCGTAGGACTTTGTGAAACAGCAAGTGCCTCTTTAGGTCTCCAAACTTCAAAGCCTTGTCTGTTTGCTGATCACGAATAAGGTCTTTTGCATGCCGCTGCTACGTACCAAAGCACTGTATCTCGTGGGTTCACCAGGGAGATCTTTCATCAGAGATCTTGTCAGTTGCAACCTCTGACAGTAGTTAACATCGCTTAAGCTCTTGTCACTATTTAGTTGTGTCAGCTGGCTCACTCTGCTCTGTCCCTACACTAGTTAAGAATGTACTTACCAATGCGAACTGTTTCTTTCTCTATTTTGTTCTCACTCAGGAGCCCCAAACTACTGTAATCCACAACCCTGATGGAAACAAGGTATTCAGAAAGAATCAACATCATCTTGCTTTAACAAGATTACACATCTCATCAAATACTCAAAGCAAAATTAATTCATTACCTCAAATTAGGATAGAAAATCCTTACCCTTTTCTACCTTACTTTCTCTTGGGCCTAATTTATCTGGAACTATACACATACTTCTTTCAAAACAAAAATGAATGACATCGTGAAAGAGAAATGAATGGTACCATTAGTCAGGAAAAGTCCAGTAAACAAGTCTTTATGTCGAGATGACTGTGTATCTTAAGCAATTCCATCTGTTTTTCCCTCCATGCCTGTTTGTGCATTGTATCTTAAGTGTATTCTGCATGAAATTTTAGAATTTCTTGCTATGTCATTCCACTGTCTTCAAAAAAAGATAAACGAGTTTATAGTTATTTGTTTAAATTTAATGTTACTTTTGAGTTTAATTTATTCTGTTGTCATAGTGTTTTGTTTTTTGTTTTCTTTTAATTCCCTGTTGTTGGTGGTGTTTTTGTTGTTTGGTACGAATTTGAGGAGAATCAGAGAGTTTCACTTCTTGTGAAGTATGTTTGTTTTTGTTGAAGTATATGCATTTCAGTAAACAGACATTTAACTCTTCGTTTGGCCAAAAAGTTCTTTCAGGTTTTCTGTTACGATGGTATGGGAAAACCCAAGTGAACTTTTTGGCTAATCCAAACTTTTCCTGAAAGTGTTTCTTATTCACTGTAAATTGTTTGCACAGCACATTAACTAAATTACACTACTTGTGTACACATCTGTAAGATGAAAGGAGATAGTTTCTGAATGAATTCCATCTTTTCATTTTGTTACTTCTCATCTATTATTACATCTCTAAGGGAAGGAAAAAATACTTCATATCTTTCTCAAATGTTAAGCATAGTCACTGGTTACTTTTCCTTACTACTATCAACAGTGTTAAAGTCTTAGAAAACAGTTCTGGCTTAACATTTAGTTGGTCAACATTAAAATCATTAAAGTAAAAAAAAAATGAAGTGTTATATTCCTTAACATGAGATGTATTTTAGAGTCACGACGCTTAAAATGTTCTAAAGTCCCTGAAAGACTCCAGATAGTCAGGAGCATCATACATAAGAACAATTATTTTCAATATCATTAGCAAGTGAAAGACCAAGCATAGCAGCTGGAGTGGACACTTCGATAATTCTAGCTATGTCATTTGTAAGCGCTGTTGCATGATGTTTCTTGCTTACATGAATTAGTTTATTTTTACGGTGCATGGGTTTACCCTCATCTTGAGTTTAAATTTGAACACTAGATCACATTAAAAAACGCATGAAGACTCTTTGCTTTGGTTCTGTGTGTGTGGAGACTCTGGATATATATTTGATTAGTCTGTCCCTTTGGAGTAAATATTATATATCATAGTTACATAAATCATTTTTTAATATTGAATCTCTAAAAGTACACTGAATGTTTGCATCATTTTCCAAAATTTGTTTTTCATCACTGACCGTATATCTATTGGTTAGAAGTTTCCAATTTTTTTAACAGTAGCCTTTAATCATTCTAAGTAGAAAATTGTTTCTTTCTTATGAATATTACTATATTTCTTTGCTAGAAATATTTTATTACTACATTATTAATGAAAAAATTTATCAACCATTTTAAGGAACAGATCTTAATACTGGCAGCTACAGTGTCCATTTAAGTGTGCTTATTAATCTGCAGCTTCATTTGTAGTTTTTCTAAGAAATAGCTTTGTCTTTTCATAATGGGAGGAAGTTTCTTATCAAAAAACAGCCAGTTTCTGGTTTAGAAATGAATGGGAAAAAGTCTTAATTTTCCTTGAAAGTAAATTATTCATATAATTCCATCATGCTGATCACAAACATGGAAATTCTTCTCAAAGTACTTTCAGTATATCTTAGTACTACCCTTAACTTTTTCATCAAATGACTCAATGAAATGCTTTTTCTCTCTACAAAGAAGTCAGGCTGATAAATAGCCTACAAATTTACTGCTTGATGTCATGCCTTAGACAAAGAGGGGGCTAATTGCTAATTATTTGGGAATAGAAAAAGTTCCTTTTAAGGTTCAAATTCACTAGGCTAATATACTCAGCTTCTCATAAGTCCTTATGGAAGCACACCTTGCGGGGCACCGTAACACAGCACATCCTTACACAGCTCTTAAAATAAGTTGCATACTTTGGCTGCTTCTACACATTGCCTCAGTGTATCATGCTTCAGGAAGTAGGCAACCAGAGTACTCCTTTTTGAAATGTTTGCAGCATTTGGCTTTTTTTTTCTGTTCAGACCACATAACAGATTTGTCCATTTGCATGTCAGCATATGCACACAGCCTGCTGAAGAATTTTGCATGATACATACATCACTCGCCAATTTTTTTAAAAAAAGAAAAGTCAAGCTATTCATGATTTGCAACTTTAAATGTGTTTTCTTCTCAACAGGAATCAACTGAGAGTTCAAATACAACAATTGAGGATGAAGACGTGAAAGGTATGATTAAACCAGAAATAGAAAATCCCAACTCAGTTACACATACATCAGAAGACAAGTATTTATTTCAAATAACTAAGAAGTTTAGAAACTATGCCTATTCTACAACACAAAAGTAATTTTCTTTTAATAAGTACATTATTTTAATTATATATCCTGATTTTGTCCATTTTCTTCATATTATTTTCTCTATATTGAAACAATATATAACATGTGGTATATTCAAGAATACTGTGATTTAAAACTAGTAGTGAGTGTTTGGGATCATAATATCAAGTTGTAAATATATCCGTCTAAAAGGTAATACAAAAGATTTATGCCTGACTAGAAAATAACTTATATTCGAAAATGGAGTATGAGCATAACCATTTTTTCTAAACTTTCAGTGGTCTCCAGTGGGCTTCAGAAATTGGCAGCCTTTTAAACCTAGATTTTCTTGCACTTTTCTACTATGGTCTTGATCTCCATTCAGCTCACTCACCATTCACTCCATCCTCAGGCTCTCTTCACACCATATAGGAGTCACTGACTGTGCCCTTCCTGGCGTCTTCTCCGTGCCTCTGCACACATACTAAACACACATTGGCAATTATAATTTTCTTGTTTTGGGCCTCAGGGTTGTTTTAGAAGTTAATCTTGCGGCAATTGTGTTTTTTCTTTTTAAATTCATTTTTGGCTGCACTGGGTCTCTGCTGCTCCATCTGGGCTTTCTCTCGTTGTGGCGCAGGGGATGCTGCCTAGTTGCGGGGCACGGGCTGTTCATCGCAGTGGGTTTTCCCATTGCAGTGTGTGCGCTCTAGGGCGCATGGGCTCAGTAGTTGTGGAGCGTGGGCTTAGTTGTCCCACAGCATGTGCCATCTTCCCAGACCAAGGATCAACCCTGTGTTCCCTGCATTGTCAGGCAGATTCTTCCACTGCAATTTTTCTGCAATTTTATACTCATTTTTTTCAATTTACTGTATGTAACTGCAATTTCTACAGGCCACTGTCTAAAAGTGATTCCAGAAAAAGAATGGTAAAAACAGGGATATTTAAAATAGAAGTATTAAAGGAAAAGAAGTGTAAAACACAAATTAAGAGGAATGATTCATCAGATAATTAAATATTATCTGGAAACATTATTACCTATCACCAAAAGTATCACCATAGGCTTTCCTTCTTAGGTAGCATTGATAGGATACAATTTTGAAAATTTGTTTTCATGTTGCAGAATAAAGAATCTGGAAATTCTCAGGTCGAGGAGATATATAGGCAATTTGGGAAATTAAAATGACTTTAGACCACAAGTCACCTCTGCAGACTTCTTCTTTGGTCAAACAGAACAGCTGACACTATTGAAGTGTAGTCTCTCTTTATATTACTAGCATACTGACCTAGCTCTTCTAGAGGGAGTCAGTCATTATTTTTTACAATGGAAAGGTGGATAGCTGTATAAAGGATTTTATTTGGTAGGTCTATTCATCTCTTTCTTGCCTCTGAGCTAAAATTTGAACTGAAGTAATTTTGTGAATCATTCATGCCAGTCATATTAGATAAAAAGATTTTTTTTTAAGCAGATGTGCCAATAAGCTTTCCCAGTGATTCAGAAGCATCATCTTTATAAGTATCTTGGATTCATTAGCTTTTTCAGTCAAGCAAAATGTTTCTATGACTTTTACATTATTCTCTTGAGCAAGAATCAAAAGGAAGAAATAACTTGTGCATTATCCACTGGTGAAACTGAATCTTTAAATAACTGAATCAAATTAAAATACCAAAACCTTACCTATGCAAGTCAGCCTCCAAGGAATATGTTTATTCTTAGGTGATCACAATATGTGGTCTTTCTTACCTGAATACACTCTTTTCTATGCTGCATATTAATTTAGGATGATTGCTTTTAATCTGTGAAAATGTCAATATATAAGCAGAGTCCCTGACAGTCTCACATTTATAGTGTATATTTACTTGGTGAAATGACATTATGTCAGTACTGTTCAGAAAACAGTTCTTCTCTTGAAATCACAATGATATGGGTTTCATCTTTCTTCTGGAATTTCACAAACTGAGACAGTATTTGTCTTTAGAGTTATGCTGGGTCTTCACACACCAAATGTTAGAGAAATTAAGCATAATATTGAGATCGAAAGAAATGTCCTGCTGATAACTGAGGCCAAAATGCTTTGGTTCATTTCCTTTAACTCAATGAATAAATTTTAAGTTTCTGCTTCATTTTCCTAGGGTGGATGTGGCCACAGAGTCATAGATACAACACATTAGGCTTCATTCGTGTTCTAAGACTCATACAGTAAGCCTTTTGGCAGTTAACCTTTTTAATATTGAATGACAACAGAAAACATTAAGTCTAGAAGACCCTTTGAACGATCACTCAGGCTGTCATTTTTTACTTAAGACAGGTGGTATATAAAACTGCCAAATGTTTTTAACATATTTACTATGGTGATGATATGATTGTGTGGGGATCGCTGCATTTATCAGTGCACTGTCTTTCAGGAAGACCCTAATACATTTATTCATCTGAATGACTGTACTCTTTTTCTCTTTACCTCAGAGTTTGTCATAGCTCTGAATAGCTAGCTAGGCAATGTGTTTATGGCCCAGCTCTGTTAGAACCCAAAGGTACCCATTCAATCCAAGAACTCACAGAGACGATCAATTGTATAACCTGAGCAAAACGATACCCTCACTACAAGACTATATCCTGTCTACAAAATTGCATGTCTTCCAAACACACACTTTTCAGCTCTATCCTTTCTGTATACAACCTTGTTATCAGGGGGAAGCACCACACCTTTTAACATGTTCTTCAAGACACAGTCCCATCGCACACTCCTCTGTGCAGCCGCACTCTCCATCCCTCCTGCTGGGTGTCCTGCCGAAGGTGCACCCAGACTTGCATCTTCCCGTGGTGGTGGCTGATCCTTTGAACACTGTGCCAGTGTCATCACGTTTTGTCTGATCCCCAAGGACCAACCTGGCAGGGACGCTGTAAGGAAAGCGGGATGGGGGACATTAACAACACGGTGACCTGCTCAAAGGAAGAGACAAGGTGAACCTCTGACAGAGTACCATTATCTGGCCTCTTCTGGAGGAAGAAGAAAGACTAGCAGTTATCAGAGGAGGAAGAAAGCAGCAGGTGCATGTAGCTTTTTTAAAAATTATTTTAACTCTCTGGGTCACTATATTACCTGAAGTGCATTTAGAGTAATAGGATCTAAGGATGTTTGAAAATTCTCATTAGTTGTCATTTTTCACACAGCCTTTTTTAAAATATGCTTTTCCATTATGGTTTATCATAGGATTCTTTTTTTTAATTGGTGTATGATTAATGGTCCTTTCCATTTAGTGGAACCTGGAAAGCCAGGATCTGGAACAGACCCGTTTTCCTTCAACTCTGCTTGTGAGTTTCCGTTTAAAATGGCCTTTGGCTTTCAAGTGGCCTCAATCCCTGTTGCATCTGTATTTAGGCTATCTCAGTTTCTTCATTCACTCAGGGAGTATTTATTAAATGCCTGCTATTTGCCTGAGCTCCACCTCTCTGTGAGCTAGTTTTAGTCAAGAGCTTTCAGCAACTCAATCAAATTACTCTTTTGTGTGCTTTACATAAATCTGTGCTATAATATAAGCTATTTCTTACATTTTGTTCAATAAATACCAAGAAAGCTGGAAATGTGAGGCCCAAGATATGGGCACTTCATGTATAAAAGTCCCTTTATTTTCCTTTTCTTAAAAGCCTTCAGCATTTAGTGATAACCACAACATGTTCCTCCCAAGCTCGTGGTCATCCTAAGGGAACTTGGCACGCTTTACAGCTCTTGTTTGTAGAAAGCTTCTGCTCCTGTTTTCTTTCTCCAACACAACACCTTGACTTCCTAATGTTGACCTTGTGAGCAACTTCCTAATTTTGCCCTGTATTCAAAAACTAACTATTATCTCTAATGCTGTGTCAATAAACTGAGTGTAATGGAGAGATAGTAATAGTTTAAAAACAAATGAGCATCTTCATGAAGCATAGTTATTGCCATAGAAGCACTCTGATAATAACGCACCATTATATACTTTGAAGAAGTATAGAATTTATGATGTTTTCAAAATATGATTTTTAGGTCCAAAAATACTGAAATAGTCATTGCATTTTGAATGTATTTCTAGGAACTCATGAGCTAATTAATTTCCAGTGTTATCAAACAGCTGGCATCAGCCGCCTTTCCTGAGTAAGTGGCAGTGCTGACAGCACTGCTGTCTGTGGGTGTGGCTGCACCTGAGGCCTGTGATACGGAACAGTGGCCCTTTCAGCTCTGTGTCTGTGTCAAGACTTACCCTTGGGTTTGTGGCCGTCGCCCTGGTGTCCCGGGCCTGTCCCTGTGTGCTCCAATGCCTCTCCACTTCCTAGCCCGCACAGCACCGTTGCTCAGAGCCAGCCACTTCTTCCTAATAGGTGTGCATCAGTTTGGTCCATCTGCTGCTCTTTCCCTAAATGCCAGAGCTGTGCGGCGCCTGTCGACATTGAGCTCCTCTGCGCCAGTAAATGCTGTCACTCACCCTGCTTCCAGCATCTCACTTCAGCTCGCCGTTCAGCAGCTGCCTGGATCTCTTGCTCCATTTCATCTTTGTTTCAGCTGTAGGCCAGTGGAGCTCTGTACTGCAAGCAGAAATGTATTGTGGTATGTGGAGACTTCAGGCTTGTTTTTCCTCTTTTTCCTTTTGCTGACAAGTAAGTGATGCTGCATAGAATCACAGGTAATGAAGCTGCATAGAATGTTTGCATCAGGCCCAGTTTAAGGGCATAGGAGCTGATGGCCTTATCTCTTGAGTGGGGCCTGGTATGTGATGACACCTGGATGTCATGGTATCAGCTAATCCACAGAATCACTTGACTACTGAGATTTGTGTGTGTGTCTTTTGTAAATCCGGGCATGAGCAGACAGTGTGATGACTAAATACTCAGATCCAACTGTTCAGTGCAGATCATGGCTTCTGTGTAGGCTTTCCTGGGGCAG